GTGGGTGGTAAAATACACCGTCAGTACACAACCAAGTTTTTACCAAAAACGACTGAAAGGGGATTTAATGCTCACAGTGAATTGAATTTGGTCTGTACCTTTGTTTCACAAAGGCTTATTTAGTACACGATAGTCTTGTGCATCATGCTGGTAGTTTTTAGAATTCATATGTGCTATAATAATTTTATAATACTCCCCATCCGTCAAGCCTTACGAGAATTCCCATAAGAATTCCTAGAAGATCTCCCATAAGATTCTTAATGATTTCCCATGTTTATAATCTTTATTGCAGTTTAATAACGTTTACGAATGTTATGAGACAACTATTGGCCTCATATGCTAGCACAGTATACATAACTGAGAGAATGTCGTTCAAAAAATATCTTGCAAGTTAATTTTTTTTACGTATGGATTAAAATAGTTACATGCAGAGTTTGCTCAAAAAGATCTTTATTTTGTCTATATTAAGACTACATTGTACCCTCCCTCCCATTTTGCAAAGAGTTCATGATAATTTGAAAAAAGTTTAAATTTATAGATAATTTAAATCTAGACAACGCAAACAAAACGTTATTTGGATGAGAAGTACCCTCTACCAGGGCGAGTGATAGATTTTTTACAGATATTAAATCTATCACTCACCCTGGTAGAGGGTAGATGAGAAGTAGCTTATATTAATTTATTTTGTTTCACTTTCATGTTTTATCTGACAGAAAATTCAACTTTTCATTTGAAAAAAAAAAATCTAATTTATTCTAAATAAGGGGACGATGTACTCATTAGGCAATAGACTTACCTGTGTATCAGATGAAAGATAATTTTTCAAGTAATATTGATGACAGGGAGTAACGATGCAGGGAAATAACTATGCAGGGGATTACTGGCGTGGAGGCGTATCGAACCAGATAAAATTAAAATTTACTAGCTAGAGGGGGAGTAAAAGTGTAGGGACATATAGAAATGTAACCTTAGCAGTGTGGAGGCCATATAGTGCTTGAAAGGAAACTTCCATATGAACATGAACTTAATAATGTTTTCTCCATGTCCTGCAGTGCATTCATTGATGTGTGATCTGTCAAGGCAATCCAAAGGAGGATTTATAAGTATATGCTCCATCAAGGCATGGGCTTTCCACTGGTGCACTGGATACTCAGAGGGTCCATGGGAGAGGCTTATGCCAGCACACAATGTTCAGTAAATTGCTATGATGATTATGTCAAATTTCTCCACTAGGTGCAAGAAATCAACTGAAGAATGTTCTGAGTATCGAAGTGCTCTACTTTCAGTTAGAGCTTGTTCACATATTAGGCAGAAAAGCCACAATGGTGCAATGATTAACACTCCTCTATTTGGACCATCTTGGTCCCAGTGAGCTGAGAGACAGGTAACTTGAGAGATTCAGACATAATAGTTGGGGAATTTATCAAAGCAAATAAGGAGAATAAAAAGCAAAATTATAGCCACTCAAATGATTTGTGAACATATTCTTTCAGATACTGAGACAGATTCACATGTTAATATTATTTTAAAGGAATAGAGTCTGATTTTTATATTGTCAACACTGCTTGTCAGGTGGAATGCTTGGATGCATGTTATCAGATTACTTATCTTATTATGATGCACAACCTAATCATTACTCGTAAATCGAAAGGGTTACAGCACTCATTGTAAAACAGGGCTAGAGTTTGTGTGTTTTTTTTTCAAACCTCCCTCATAGTGCAGTGAATGTTTGTCTCTTGGAATCTGACCCATAAACCTTGGTTACTACAATTTTATTTTGACTCAATTGACAGTGTCAAGCAAATGACACGCAGTAACCTAGAGCATACACCTGTACTACTGGCCTATTGCATGAAAATCTCGTTTACAGTGCAACTACCCTGGGTTTCAGAGGACGTTGGAAACTCTTGCTGTTTTGCTGTTAGCAGAGAGGTGGGGGGGTGGGGGGCTCCAGCGTCCTCTGCAACCCAGGGTGCATTGAAACTGAAAAGGATAAAAAAGAAGAATAGTTTTTCTGTACACTAATATTATTCATATCCATGAAATAAAATAATGAAACTCAAAGAAAAATATTTTCTGAAAATCTAATGGACTTTCAAAGCATGCATAAAAATATCAAATCTGCATCATTAAGGAATGAGGTAAACTAACAAGCCTTTAAAGACTAAGAGTTTTTAAGTAAAGTACTAAATTTGTCAACAATTCTGACAAAAAGCACAAGTTGTCACCATATCTAAAGGAACAAATGTTAATCTTTTGCTGGAGGTGATATGTAGAACTACGTATACCTCATCATCAAAGACAGACAAATTGGAATAAAAGGAGTTACACTATACGTCAGAACTGGTATAGTGACTATAACATCTTTTCTCATCTACCTGAAGCAATTTTGGTTGTTGTTAATAATCAAAAGGTGTAAATTTAATTTGTTCTGGATTATCATAAAAAACACAATGCATAAAGAACTAGTAAGTACGCAAACTGCATTTAACTTCACATCAAGAAAAGTTCACATCTCAGTTTTGAAATTCAGCTCCTTTTAAATCTAGGTGCGAGATGTCTTCACCACTTGTACTTGAAGTTCATCTTCAGTAGGTACTTGATGTTGACCTGAGCCACGTCATATACAATGAATCTGATTGTAAATGAAGGAAAACTTTAAAAGAATCGTCCTAAAGTCACTACAATGCAAATGTCACACAGGAACTTTAAAATAATACTATAGGCAAAATTGGAAATTGTAAGCAAGCATTTTGAAACATTTTTTCATTGTGCATATATCATAATAATCTAGTTATTGGCAGTATATAATTATGATTTTGTTAAATGTAGAATAAATGAATACATAAATAAATCTTCATGAAACATTAATTTTCATCAAATGATTTTTATACTGAAAATTATATTTCATACATGTGCCCTTAATGTAAAAAGGATACTCGTTATAGAGAAGGCTGGTTTGGCCAATAGGTGCCGATATACCCTTCCCCTTGGGGATAATAACGTCCTCCGGTGTCTTATAGTCATCTTTAGGATCAGGCATTGTCATACCAAGGCCTGGGATAAAAGATTACATAGTAACTTTATAAATAACCTATTTTGATTTTTATAATGGTAACGACTTTATGGTATATTCTGTGTCAGCATTAATTTCAAAACTAAAATTTAAAATAATTTCAAATTTTTCATAAGAATTAAAGATTCAACCTTTGCTTTAAGTGTAAGATCCCTTCCAAAAAACAAATTATAAGTGAGAACATTTCACAGAAGTTATATTCCCAAGGCTAGTAAGAGTTAAATCTTAGACTACAAACTGAGAACTCCACTTAATAAGTGGCATATCATAGTTCCCTTACCCTTTGTGCTATGTTTGCCTTTTGGTAGTTTGGTTATGTATTCTGCTCCTCTGCACTCATGCCTGTCAAAAGATAATAGCTCAAACAGTAACGTCATGTTAATAACTGCAACACAAAAGGGAAGAAGCATTTGTTATAGAAAACAGCTTCTGTGACCCTAAGCTTCAGATCCAATGTGGGTCAACTTCTTCATTTTCAATTTTCCCAGTGTGTACAGTTTTCAGGTATCAGGTCAGAAACAAAGGCTATCTTAATACATTCCACAATAACACCATCTGCTTTATAAAAGACAAAGCAAATATTTATACATTTATATAAATGTACATGTAGGTATAGGGGACATTTAACAGTCCCTTTCTCTGCAACACAACTGCCATTTTGCTTGCGTATAGAAACAGTACCATACAACAGTATTAAATATTTTGTAAAATATTTTGTTTATTGAGAAATTATATTGATTGCCACCAACCAGTGGACATTCAGTGGGTTGACTTACATATTTCCTAGAGCGACCTCACACAATAGCAGGATGCCATGGGGCTCAGATTTGCTTGTTCTACAATAATTGGCACTCTTTGAGACCATGTCAGCAAAGTAAATACCCTTTCCAAACATGTAGCCAGTCTGAAACAACAACAACAAGCTTTTGTACAACTCAGAGGATGAACTGGACTGCAATGTGATGATTCATGATGGAAGCTAAGAACCATCTTTCTTTCTTTGATTCTGCATCAACAAAAATTTCCCAGGAGCAAAATTTGCAATACAGCCTAAAACAACATATTTTCTTTCAGAAGAAAAAAAATTTAAAAACACCAAACGGGGCTACATGAAATGCACTCAAAATTTTAAGGAAACTAAATTTACAACAATTTTTCTTTTTTTCTTACAACAAATTTTCAGATTTAAGTTTCCTTACAATTCCAAAAACACAAAAGGAAAAACTGTTACATCATGGTTTCCTGCAAGCTAAAAACAGTAATAAATAATAAATAAATATTTTATCATAATTAGCAGCCTCATAATAAATACATGTAGCACCAATAAAAATGAACTCACCACTGGTGCCTCTGGAGGGGCAATTCTCAAGCCTTGAGACAAAATACCAGCAAAATTGGTGACACGGGAGCCATGCCATAGCAACATCTTGTTGTGCAGGTCACGGAATGGTTTGTATCGGGCATACTCCCCCTCACGGGCAACCTTGAAAACCTAATTGAAAAAGAATAAAAAAGTTAGACAACTTAATTTTTCTGTCAATAATTACTAATAGATGGCACATACCCAAACACCTTGGAGTGGAAGTGGAAGTATGGTAGTGGAAGTATTTTTTTATGTGAAGGTGCAGCTATGTTTTGTGCTTGATTGGTGTCACATTAATCAAACAGGTAATCTTAAGAAAACCACGCCTGAAAGCCTATAATGATAAGAAAAGATTATATTATGAATGAATATGGTGAAACTGATGTTTTGCACTAAAAAAATTCATCTGAATCCATGCCTATAGAGTGTTTTGTACAAATTTTTTTTCCAAATAAATCTCATTACATACTAATACTAATACGAATGTTATCTGAACTGTGTGCTTAAAAAGCCTTTATTCATGTTGTGCATTAATCATAAACCTTGATTTACAATTGTATTCTATCTGGTAAGTTACTGAATATACCTCCATAACTTCCAAGTCATACATGTTGTGTGTTGCAGCATGGGTATTTTTGGTGTACTCCTGCAAAAGCTTGAACTCATTGCTTTCCTTCTCAACCACCTGGGGAAAAGATTCTTGAAATTTAGATCAATAAAGCACCGTTCAACCAAATATTTTTTAATTTATATCTAGAACTGACACTAGCATGCTTAATGAAGAAACTATTAATGTTTTTAAACAAAATAGACACCACTCAATTAACCCTTACATGTACAAATAAATGCAAATTTTCTTAAAAATGTAGCATGAATATGTGACATAAAAGATATACAGAAGTAAGAAATGACCTCCATTTTGCATTTGAGTTGCTCATAGTGTGCATCCACAGGGTCCTTGTCCTCGCTTGCTCCACTTTTCAGCAGGTTGTAAGCAACCTCAATCTCCAGCAAGTTATCCAACATTTCTATTTTTTTCTAGAGTCAGATTAAAAGTGGGTGAAAAAAAATTTATTTAATGAACAGAAATTATCATTACAGCTATGCTTATGCAGGTTCTCATCCCAACAGAAGCTTACAAGCAATTCATAGTATACAAGGCTTTACCTTTAGAAAAAAATCAAATAAATCTGAAAGTAGATTAAATCAGACAGCATCCCCTACAATCAAAGATTCCTCTTAATTATCACAGACAGGAATGTGATTGGGCCAATATATGATCCCCTGCTGAATCGGTGTATTATATAATGATGTGGACATAACTTATTACGAGTATTATGAAAAAAAAAAAAATTAAAATTACCTTGATAACTTCAGATGTGTCCAGAAGTGGTGGCTTTCGCATGCCAAAGTCATGTGGAATAAGTGTGTAAAACCTGTTTGATGCATCCAAAAACTGACCTGGAGTGCCATTATTTTCTGCCAACTAAAATTAAGTTGAAATTATGCACGTTTATCAGCACAGTGTCTTTATTTCTCAAAGACTGAAAAAATTTTCTTATTTGTTAGCATTAATCCATTTTAGTTAATAATTAGCACAGTGAAAAATTACAACAATTAAATTAAAATCAAAAGAGCAGAAACGTGTACCAAAAAAAAAAAACAAACTAATATTGCATATTACTTTTTGCCACACTGAAAATTATTTTTTATTACCTGCTGTAGTTCAGTCAACACCTTGTAAGCTTGCTCAATTTGCTTTTTTGACAATTTCCCCAGAGGCATCTTTTTCAGATCAATCTGAAGAAGAACACAGCATATCAAAATTCACTATAATACAGCAGTCATGTTTATCAAATTCCATTATTTTACTTGACTCAACAAGTGCTGCCTTAAGGATCTTATGACCAAATTACACAAAAAAAAACTTCTCACCTCAAACTCTAACATGGCTTTTTTCATGCTTTCAACATTAAAAATCATCTTGATCAAATCTTGGACTTCTTTGGGAAGTTTTGAACTTGTTCCTGCCCTTTTCTCAAATTCTTTAATTTCTTCTTCTTCCTGGAAAACCAAATCCATAAGATTTATGGATAATCCATTAAATGTAATTCACTACTGTAACATAAATGAATTTTTATCAAAACCATGAAGTTTACAGTCAGAATATTAAAACATTTACTAACCAACTCTCTCTTGAATAAATCAAAATTCCGATATTGAATGCTTGTTGACTTGTGAAAATCACTAATTACAATGACAAATACCATAACAATTTAAGATATAATGGAGTTTCGAAATCTAAGAATCGAAAGAAAAGAAAATTAAATTAAAGCAAATTAAATAAATCAAAATCTCACCTGTCCATAATCAATCTCAAGCGGATAAAATTTGTTAGGATATTTGACAAAGTTTTTCCGGTCTTCCCACATGTTACCAGTCTTATCTAGGTAAACTTCTTTAAACTTGCTGATGGCAGAGCTCTTGGAACCACAGACATCAAGTCTGTTTCCACCAATTGTAGTTCCCACTCTCCCCCATGCTTTGAACAGCCACCATCTTGAAGTTGATCAAAAACAAAATAACCCTAACATATAACAATCAACTTCACTTCATAATGGCCATTTCAATATTGTAAATTTGGAAATATCTACAGATGTCTTACTCAGTAAAATTATTTCTGGTTTAAGATAGCTTGGTCCTAAATGTTATTTCTGTATTATAATTATAATCACCCCATGGGCATAACTAAATAAAACATGCAGTAAACAACTTGATTAATATCAACCTGTTAGATGCATCTGATTCTAAAGCTTGAATTTTGTAGTAAGAGTTTGTGCCCCTGACGATGTCCACCAGACCCAGGACAGCATTGTAGATGTCACCCTTGTCTTCAACCACATGGGCAGTATCACCAAGTTCTGAAATAAACAAGGCAGCAAAGCTGTCAAATGTACAGACAAAAAACAGGAAATAACTATGCACAAAATAGGCTACTGTCAATTCTGATACAAAATTTTAATGATTGAATCTGACAAACTGCAATGATATGAGTTTATTTCCATTTTTGAAACTTTATTACACAATACACGATAACAAGTNTAACATGGCGGCGGAGCCGGCGGAGCCGCAGGAGCCGGCGGAACGGACCGGACGGGACTAAAACCATGTGTACCGCCAGCGCTAACGCTGGTGGTACAATAAATCAAAATCTCACCTGTCCATAATCAATCTCAAGCGGATAAAATTTATTAGGATATTTGACAAAGTTTTTCCGGTCTTCCCACATGTTACCAGTCTTGTCTAGGTAAACTTCTTTAAACTTGCTGATGGCAGAGCTCTTGGAACCACAGACATCAAGTCTGTTTCCACCAATCGTAGTTCCCACTCTCCCCCATGCTTTGAACAGCCACCATCTTGAAGTTGATCAAAAACAATATATCCCCAACATATAACAATCAACTTCACTTCACAATGGCCATTTCAATATTGTAAATTAGGAAATATCTAAAGATGTCTTACTCAGTTAAATTATTTCTGGTTTAAGATAGCTTGGTCCTAAATGCTACTTCTGTTTTATAATTATAATCACCCTATGGGCATAAGTAAATAAAACATTATGCAGTAAACAACTTGATTAATATTAACCTGTTAGATGTATCTGATTCTAAAGCTTGAATTTTGTAGTAAGAGTTTGTGCCCCTGACTATGTCCACCAGACCCAGGACAGCATTGTAGATGTCACCCTTGTCTTCAACCACATGGGCAGTATCACCAAGTTCTTAAATAAAAAAAAAGGGCAAAGATAAATTATCAGTGGAGGAGTTACACTATATCTTTCAATACACAGAACATTTTTATTTAAAAAGTTATTGAAAGACTTTTTGATGGTACATAAAAGATCTGATGAAATTCTAACTTGATTACCAGTATCGGGATCTACTGCTGCTCCTCCTTTCACCATCATTTTCATCTTGTCTGGGACTTTCTTTGTGTACACAGAATCTGCAAGTGAATTTTTGTAAAGAAAATAATCCCTTTTTCAAACAAGTCCAAAATGTAAAAATGCTATCAATAATCAATGGAATTATCTAGCTGATACAGGAACTTTCAGTATAAGAGGTGTGCTTGCAAGTGTGTGGGTGAATGTGGGTGAAGTACAATTAACATAGATCTGCTTACCCTTTGTTTTATATTTTTCATAAGCACTCTTGCCTCCACTCTTCACTGGACCATCAACGACATCCCCAAGTCTTGATGCTGGCTGAAATACACCACCAACATGTTTATGACCATATTTAGTCTAAATAAGTAAATGAAGCGGGAATTTTGTTGGAAACAAACAAAATTTCAGAGGTCAAAGGTCACTCTATTATCCACCATTTTACAGTACACAGTTGGACAATAATCACAGAAACTATACAACAGTATAAATATCTTTCTTATATAAAAAGTACTCACATCTGATCCCCAATCACAAATTGACTTTTCCTTGATCATTAGTACTGCTCCCCCTTTCTTAGCAGCCTCCAGGAAATCCTCAGAAACAACATGCACATCTGCAGATTTAGCCTCTTGAATTTTCTTGGAGTTTTTCTGCACTTCAGCTTGATTAGAGAAAGAGAAAGCCCTGTTAGCATTATGAGTCAGACTTATGACTTTTTAAAAAAAAAGTAGTTATCCATATTTTCAAATAGGGAATTTCATTTTTATAAATAGCAAAGAATATAGTTTTAATGAAAAAAATCAGCATTTTAAAATTTTAGTTTAAGTGTTATGTACTTAAAAATTCAATATATAGAAAAAACTGTGCATTTCAAGAATTTCTATCATTACACCAATGTTGTATAGACCTACTTAAAACAGAACTGGCTTTAAACCTCCATAGTTTGAAATATTCCATAATAAAAACATAATATCCAGTAATTTCACAGAAAATTGTTAAAAGTGAAATTTTTTTTTCCTGTAAAAGATACCTTCACTACTGATGCAGGCAGCCACAGTTTTGTCTAACTTTGAGACTATCATCCCTCCCATGGCATTCACAGCTTTAGTTATGGCATCTTTAGACATCTTTGTGCGACCAATGATGACAAATTTCATGTTGTGGAGTGGCTTATCAGTCCTAAAAATCAATCAGATTAATAGAAATTCATTAATAATAACAATGTTTATTTTTCAATATGTTATGTTTACAATTGATTATTCAAATTGGGCAATTTGGGTAAACAACTGCAAGTTCAAGGTGCTGGCTGTGCTAATTACCACCAGTCTTTCACTTTTTGTGTAATTTGAGTGACTTTGTAACTTCAGACAACCATGTTGTATTCCCTATTTGAAAATTCTCAAATGTTCACATTGACATAGATTAATAATGACTGTATTATATTATGAACCATTTTCATACTTACTCAATTCATTTTTCTTAATGAATTTATACTTAATGGTGTATTACAGAGATCAAGTTGGTATACTGGCAAATAATCAGAATTTTTGAAGAAACTGGCAAATAATCAGAATTTTTGAAGAACACTTAAAAAGGTAAACTGGACAATTCAACCTTAAAACTGTCTTTAGAAGCTAAGATCTAAGACTATCAACTTGAATAGCAGATTTATCTCCTGACTCAACAAAACCAAGTACTAGATATTTTACCAGGTCTAGTCTCTTACCCAAGAGCAACCCCTGATGAGCTGATAGGACCCTCTGTGGTGACCACGCTGACCTTTGGCCAGACTCTCTCTTTCTTCACATACTTGTACTTCTTACTGGAACAAGATTAACAGCATTTCAAATGTCAGTTAAAGTCTTCCATGCTTTAAAGATCTCCAGCATTGTGCTTCAAAAAATGTCCATAAAAAGAGGAATGAAATTTAGACAATTTATCACTAATTACAGCTCACTTTGTATATTTCAGCTTCAGGAATAAATGGGTAGTGTTGGATAATCCACTGCCCATGTTAAAATGCCTTACAGTTCTATATGCAGCTAGAGTTACACGTATGAAAATTTGACAGACTGAAACTTAAGAGATGTTTTAGTATTTTAGGATGTATATAACGTTCTGTTTACAACCCTCTGGATGGTTAATGTGGACTGGAAGGAGATTCATAACTTTTAAAATACCAAACACAAGGCAACTCACAGGAATTCTACATCATGGTACTCTGTTGGAATTTTGAAGGCTTTCCTGGCAGGGTTTTTGGTGACATACATACACTTGGTCCAAGCACTCAGGTTTCCTGTGCACTTATAGCCATCACTGCTGTAAACCAACTGTCCTTCTTTACATTCTGGACAGTTCTTCAGAGCTCCAAATGCCATACAATCTGCTACATTGTCCAGAAGCTAAAAAATAGACAAAAATAATAACAAATTTTAATTTTATTTAAGAATAAAAAAAATTAAAAAAAAAAACAAATCAATAATTGAACTATGCCTTGTTCATGTTTTTGTTTAGTTTTGTCTATTTAATGTAGATATATATTTGCAACATCAAAAGGCATAAACAAACATCATCAAAATTACGTAAGTGACATATGCCAATCTCAAATATTTAGAAAGAATACACATAAATATAACACAGTGAGGGAGGTAAAGAAATACTGGGTGAAGCAATTAATGTTATTCTCACACTTACCTTGCTCTCTCCAGAGGGAATCTGTTGATCATTATAATCTAAGAGTCCCTTTAAAGCCACATTGGAAACTGCCTTCTGTAAATTATCTCTTATCTTCCAGATCATTTCACTTTGTTCCTTGGAAAAAAATGTAAAACTTCAATATCTTTAAATAATGAATAATCTAACCTCCATTGTTATCATAAAAAGAATATTTTCACAGAGTAAAAGCTGAGAGCAAGGGACTATATGGTAATATTTCCCCAAATCATCATTTCAGTGAGATTTATTTCAGGGATTATTTGGCTATCACAAAAAATGGCTTAGATAGAATGTTGATAATAGACATACCTTTAATGCCTTTTCTTCTTCTGTTTCCTCTTTCTTTGCCTTTTTGTTCGGTACTTCCTTCTTCTTATCACCCTTCCGTTTCTTCCTATACATAAACAAACAATATAATCACAGATATCTTAATTACATGTAATTATACAAATTACAAGGAGCATATTTTATACATCTTATGTCTGCAAAAGATGCCATTTTGCTTGGTGAAACACCACTGTCTCAATCCCTTAGTTTGGTCTTGATCATTTAACTCAATTTTCTATATAATAATGCCTTCTTTTTGACCTTCTCAGTGAGGGACAGTAAGTTAATGTCCAATTATATGTAATACTATTTTATGTATATACTTGATCTGGTTGAATAAGCATCATTATGACAAGTCATCATCCTCATCATCATTATCATCACCATTGTTATAATTATTATTCAACCACAGGCAGAGTTATGTTGCTAATAATCAAAGAATAAACTTATAACCCACCCACTGCTCCCTGCTCCAAGTTTCTCTTTCACCATCTCCTTATCTTCTTTCTTCAAGCTTTTGTATCCAGGGATTCTAAAGAAATCCACCATAATTATTCAAATGAGACAAAAAAGCAATGCCATCCCTAGCAGCATATCACCATGCTAAGTGTGATGTCTCTTTCAGACTGCTTTAACAATATATACTAAAACACACATTGATAATTAGCCTTTAACAGAATGAAATGTGTAGTTATATCAACAAAATGTAGATGATGACACCTGTCAAAGAATCCAACACAGTGACTTTGCCAAGAAATTACCATCAAAAACAGACAAAAAGTTTTTCGTACATCTTTGGGATCTTTCATATTTTAAGAAAATTTACCCCTACTTTTCAAAAAGGAGTAACTAATAACACCAATGTAAAAAAGCCCAATTTTTTCTAAATAGGATCCTAAGTTAGGCAGAACTCGACAATCTTTAGCAAAATTAACTTTGGCAAAATGCTAAACATATTCTAATTTTGTTAAGGCAAATATAAACTAAGACAATTACCCGAATTTTTGTGACTACAATTGCCTAGATATTTAGATAAAATATGAGCTTAACTAAACAACACAAAGTTTGCAATGGAATTTGGAAATCAAGCTAGTGGAAACTTAGATGCCTACTTGTCTGGGTTCATGTCAGATGAAAACTGCAGCTCATCTCTGTTCTCAACAAAACAGTCCACATGATGCCATCTGTCCTGAGGCCCATACATCTTAGCACGTTCACTCTCATACTCCTTCATGGAGATCCTCACTGCATCCTGTAATTCAAAAAAAAGGAAATAATAATAATAATAATAGAATGAATCATAAAATGCTGTTAAAATGAAGAGCTACTTCAAGAAATTATTAGAGAAAACACATGCGTCACCTGATAAACAGACCCTATAAAAATCCTAAATGAATCTGCAGGACTGGTATTTTTTTAAAAGAAAATGGAAAAGTAAAATTCTTAAAATATTTACAGTAAAATTCGAAAGGATAAACAGCAAATCACAAGAGGTTTAGCATAGGGGTAAAAGTACTCTGCTTAAGTGATCCCAGATGCTGTCACACACTGTACAGACCTTCTCAATCTTCTCCTCACATCCGCGACACTTGCTCCTGTTTGACTTGGCATACTCCACACAAAAATCTTTATATGCAGCATCGTCCCCTGCAGTGCTGCCGCCTTTTGGGGCTGCATCACCACCACCACCACCTGCATGCAAACATTTAGTAATAATAATAATAATAATAATAATAATAATAATAATAATATAAATAATAAAGTTATAATAATAATAATAAAGTTATAATAATAAAAATTCAAGTGTGAAAAGTGCTTATAAGTAACAGTTGGACGAACATAAATACTGTAGTTGATTAGGAAAGTGGATAAATATTGCACTCATAAAAGGTCATATTGTCATCAGTTTGAGGTTGTGTCTTGGTTGTGCTTATAGTTCAATAAAAAAATCATTCTGAAATTTTAGTCTCAAAGGAAAATAAAAAGCAGTAAAAGGCAGATTTAAGCATGGTTTAATCTGAATGCCCTTCTGTTATCAAATAAAGACAAATCAGTCTCAGTCTATTTTAATCTGGATCTTTACATAAGAACACATCCACACCAGCCACACACAATAATCTATCTAAATCTATACATTTCTATATTATGGCAATCATGTGGTCACCTTCTATGTGGTCTTTGATCTTCTTCTGATCATCCCATCTCAGTGCATCAAAACCATGTATATCATGGGCAGCAAGAACTTTGGCTTTTGTCCAAAAACACTTGTAGTGAAACCAGTTTGGAATCTAAAAATATGTGTAGGATACTTGAATGCTTTGTGATTTAATCATATTATAAATATAAATCAAATGACAACTCCACCATGTAATTGTACAAAAAAAAAGTCATTTTTCATTTTCTATATCAACGGTAAAACCTTTACTAGTATGCATCTGATAACATGTTTAATTTTATGTTATGTTATTTCTTTATTTATTACAACATCATTTGGAAAAGCCTTTCTTATGAGGTATATGGATGTGTATTTGCAACTTTTAGAAGTATTCAGCTGTGAAGATTTCACAAAAAATATTAATGCTAAAATTACTTAGAGTGCATTTCTAAGGTGTCATAAAAAAGATTAAGTTGTTTCTAATATTAAAAGAGGTCTTTTATTAACAATATTTACCTTTCCATCAAAATGTGGAGACTGAAATAAAAAAAAAACAATTTGTAAAATTATATGCCTTGTACCCCATAAGTTACACAGAGTAAATAATTTTACCCCATTACTTTACCTGTACAATGTACTAGCAATTACAAAAAAAGGAAATTTTATTAACTTTTTTTTATATTTAAAATATTTCACAATGTATCAATTATTTAAGACAAAGTAGTGAAATAAGATTTCTCCTTGGGCTCCATAAAGAAATCATTTTTAATATATAAATTCATCTATATTTTGTCGCATACTCTGAAAGTGCTCTCAAATACTGTTGACTGCTAAATCGTACATCTTCATGAAAATTACAATAGCTATTTAAATAAGTCAAATGCAAACACCAATTAAATAACAACAAAAACGTTAGCGTTTTTTTTTTTTTTTTGTAAATTATCAACATTAAATAAATCTTAACTTTCAACGTGTTTCAAGATATATATATATATATATATATATATATATATATATATATATATATATATATATATATATATATAAATAATTAAAATAATTTTAAAATGCATCATCTCTCTCTCTCTCTTCCCTCCTCCCCCTTGCTCATTTCGCCGGTTTCGTTCCCTGATCCCCTGTATCTACTGACTCAAGTGCCCAACCTGAAACCAGCCAAGCTATCTGAACCAAATGTGGAAACAATATTTATGACGTGACCAGGCGATCAAAATGCAATGGGACACTCTAAGCGCCCCAGATTTTGAAAGCCCAGCAAGTGACATCAGTAACCTATTTCCGGTCTGAGATTGTCTGGTTTCGAATGTGACAGTGTAAACATGCCTGAACACAATGCCAGCGAAGTGGTTTTTACCATGAACAAATTTTCGATTTAATCTTACCTGAACCATTACTGCCAATCGCAGAGTGTCTTTGGAAATGAGTTCTTTGCATTTTTTGCATGATGCACGATTACTTTTTGCATATTCGGCTTTAAATGGGAGGTCGTGGTGGTCTGCCATGCTTCCCGGCCTGGTAATGCCTCAACGTAAACGACGTCAAATAGAGTAAACAATCAATGGCTGCCTCGCTTTCGATAATGCTTTCGATTTGAACACGAGACCACAACATTGACTTTATGGTTTATGCATCATGTTGCCGCCACGATGGTTGAACTTTGAAGGTTGGAAGCATGGCTGACTTTACTGCGGATCCTGGCGGGAGAGTGAAGGTATTTTGAAATATAAACATTTCATGAATACCTATTACATTCTGTGAACATTACAGGAAAAATTTAATTACATTCTGATTTATAGAGGGTGTTTTAGATTGATTTACTCTGGTCATTAAGTGGTGAAAATATTAAAACCAGTGAAACAATGTAAGTACTGATCTAGTACATGTTGCTATTACAAGGCCTTTCATACTCAGTGAGGCCTTGTTCAGCTTCATATTTATATATTTAATTGTAAATATATTTTTCACATCGAACAGTCATATTATGTACAGGTCTAACATTTTGTTTGATGTACATTTGATGCAAAATATACATGTGATTATTAGTATGTTACATGTGTTACTGTAGACTAAGTATTTTGTATTGAAAAGGGGATTACCACTGTGAAGCCAATAGTTTATGGCAATGTGGCGAGATATTTTGGAAAGAAACGTGATGAGGATGGACACACCCATCAGTGGACTGTGTATGTGAAACCTTACAGGAACGAGGTAAGGCTTTTCCCTTGGGTCTGCATGTATGATGCAGGTTGGAAGATCTATGGGAAACTTGCACAAGGGCCTTCTCCGGAACAGAACTGTAGGCTAAAAGATAAACTATCAATCCAAAATTTAGTTTATTTCTTTACTTGTCTGCAGTGCCGAGAGACTTTGAGCTGCATGCTTCATGTTTTTATATCTGTTTGTTAATAATGGCTTAAAAGATATTCTGTTGTGTTTTAGTTTTGTATTTTGTTTTGAGACAATATGTCTGCCAAAAAATAATTATACTATCACATTTATTATAAAACATTTGTACACTATTTGTTTCGTATAATGTCTTATGAAAGATACTTATACTAGTTTGTGAAAATAATGCATTCTGTTTAAAAAAAAGAAAATTCTGGCCTGTGAACAGAGATCAGATAGATAACTTTTAAAGAAGATTTAATAATTTTCCTTTTATATCAGGATATGTCTACATATGTGAAGAAAATTCATTTTAAACTACATGAAAGCTATGCCAATCAAAATAGAGGTAAGGGTTTTAGTCCCCTTTGCTTGGTACCTCTCCTTTCTTCTAACACTCCCCCCCCCCCACACACACACACACACACCTCTTTTTCATACACACACACGCACGCACGCACGCACATGCACACACACACTTTTAACATAATATAGGATTGATTTTAATATTTTATTGTAGGAAGTGAACATGCTCACACACACACCATTGTTTGTTGATGAAGTGTATACAATATATTACTTATAAAAGCATATTTATTCCAGTTGTTTCCAAACCTCCATATGAAGTTACAGAGACTGGATGGGGAGAATTTGAAATAATTATCAAAATATTTTTTCATGATCCAAATGAAAGACCAGTAAGTGTGGATTATTAAAAGTTTGAAAAAATGCAGGAAGATGAAGTCGAGACTAATTGCATGTTTTATTTAATCAATTATTATTATTACTTTGTCATTTGCAAATTTAAAAAAATGAAATAAAATCTCTTCCTTTTCATGTCATTGATTACTTATTCAGGCCTTTTCTCTCTTCAGGTGACACTTTATCATTTGCTAAAATTATTTCAAAGTGAAACTGACATCATGCTTGGTAAAAAGAACTTGGTATCAGAGTATTATGATGAACTGGTAAGTCAAGAATTCTTTTGTCAAATTTATCATTACTATTTGATTTGACTGAAAACAATACTTTCAGTTAAGTATTGATAACTTCTGAGTGCTGCTATACAGAGTACTGAAGATTGTCTTCTCATCAATGACATGGTGTCTGGCATTGCACCTGTCTCCTCCTTCAAACCCTATGCTAATAATCATAAAGTTGAATTGAGCTAAGCCTCATCAATGACATGGTGTCTGGCATTGCACCTCTCTCCTCCTTCAAACTCTATGCTTATAATCATCAAGTTGAATTGAGCTAAGCCTTGGTTGAAAATGTTTTTTCAAAACGTACAATCATATCACAACTGTTTTAATTACCATGTTCTTAGACAGACATGTAGGCGGGGAAGGGATTGGCAGTAATTTAGTCATAATGGAAATGTAGCACTAAACAGAGATGTTTCATTCCAGATATTCCAGGACCCGTCTGCCATGATGCAGCAACTACTGACGAGCTCCAGGCCTCTGACACTAGGGCCACATAAACATGAAACAGATTGTAAGTGTGTTTACACATATTGAAAGATATCTTTATGCAGAATGAAATTCAGTGAAGTAGCATGTTAACAAGGCTTTGAGATTATAAAATTATTTTCAAAAATAAAAAATACTTACGTAACATATAAACAGTTTTAAAAAATTTAAAAATGCATTGTTTTTCTTGTGGAAATTTGAGACCATTCAGATTTCAGACTGCTGTGAAGTTTTATCAAGGCATAATTTCTGCTGTCAGGTAATTGTTTTATTCAATGTGATATCTAGAGATACAGTAAACTGCCAACAACATAGTAAGTTTAATCTTTCTTTTCAATAATTTATATTTCAGTTGAAGAGAAAAAAGAAAAAACTTTAAATTCTGTCATAGCGGCCAAGAACAAAATTAGATATGAAATATCTGAGCTGAATGAAAGACTAAAGCACAGTAAAGAGTCTATTCAGAAATTTAAAGATGAGATTGCAAAACTAGAAAGTCAAGATGAAGAAATTGTTGCTAAAATGGAAATGTAGCTTGATCCTGGGCTGCGAAATTCAGTGCTTTCATGCAGGTTTGAAATTTGAAATATGAAAAATAACTGTTGCTGAAAGTTTTTGCCCCAGTGATTTGCACTGACTGTTAAGCAGCTTCAAGTTGTATATATTTGACTGCCAATTGAATACCACTGTGGAAGGTGAGGAATTGTGGAAGGCATCCAATATGTATATAAATATCTGTAATAAAAATGTTATAAAACTTTTTTTAAGCTTTTGACATTATTTAAAATTAAAGTGAGACTAGAACTACAAACTTCGTGTTATAAGTTGTGGTTTCACAATATGTTTTTTTGAAGATCGGTTAGCTGAAAATTATTGCAACTTTAAAGAAATATTATTGTAGTAAATTTTTTGAAATAATTTAAGCTTGAAACCCTCACTGATTAGAGCAATTTTGAAATTTGATTTGCATGATCCACTTAGTGGTCATTCTGATTATTATTTGAGAATATCCAAGGGTTCTTTAATTGTGAGGTTTGGTTTACTTCATTTTATTGTGTTAAAATCCTCAGAACATGTCAAGTTTTCATGCAACAAACCATGGCATGTCAAGTTTGGCAGAGGGCCTGCACACTATGCTTTCTCTGAAGACTCCTAAGTATGTGACCAAACAAGTGTTTTCACTCCATGAAATATCCAACTGGAAGTAGCAAAAAGTAAATACAAAGTTGAGCAAAGTGATTTATAAGAATCTTGATTTTATTTAATTCTGCAGCAGTGCCTGCCTGCACATTTCTCAATCTGCAGAACATTATAATTAAGTCATCATATGGATACAACCAGTATCCAATTAAAACAAAAGTATAACAGGTGTGCACTGAAACAAATGTAAAGGTATGAATATTCACTGACTTGGGGGCCTTTTTTCTGACCCCACTGCATCCATTTGATACTTTCTGACATGTTTTGAGATATTTTTTTGTTTGTTTTGAAATAAAGTAAGTCTGGTTACATGTTGCAAGTCCACTTTTCAAAAGTTAATCAAGACTTCATGCAGCAGGTTTCTCCCCCTTTAGGTATAATTGAAAATCACAAAGAAGACTGCAGACAAAGTTGAAGAATTTCTTTGTCTTAAGCTGTAGAATGCATACATGTCAGGCGTGCCAGCATTCTAGTATTATATTTCAAGACATTTACATCAGACCCAGGGTTCCCAGCCTTCATAAGCTCTGCCTAATATATTAGGGTCTGTTGCCTGGTCTATGAGACAAGCCACTTGCTGCTCTGGAGTAAGATCCACTTCTGCAAACTTGGTTCTTGTGTTGTCTTGTCCTTGTGTTATTGCAATAAATGCCTGATAAGTCTTTCCTCTCCTCTTGTGACCTAGTTCCAGTTCATCCCTTGAAATAAAAGAAGGGAAAAATCTGGGCAAAAACAAAAAAATGCTACTTTTCTTAAAATTAATCATTAATATCTGAACCAGTACCACAGATTTTGTAACTATGGAAAATGTTTGATGATTCTCATTTTATAAATTGGTTAGAAAAAAAATTGAAAAATATGGAGTGATCCTCAATGAAGGATATTCAAGTTACAAAATTTTAAAGACAGTATTCAATGGAAACAGAAAGTTATGTAGAGTTGAAATTGGGAGCCAAGGTGGCTGGTCACAAGTGTCTCAGACTTAAGGGATAACAACTCTTCGTGTGAGATCTATATTTCACAATAAATACACTGTAAACAATTACAGAAATAAAGTATTTTCTATTTTACCACAAAAACAGAAGTTATAGCAATTATTCTAAAATCTGTGTTTGTTATTTGACCATGTGACCTCCACTGATGGCTACACTCTGCAATAATTTCTAAGGCGTTTGTTACAAAAACCAACTTTTAAGTAAAAAAATCAGGGAACAACTTTGATTATATAAATGGATTAACTAACCATTGGTTAGTATGGGAAAATTGTCTTTTACCCCAGGAATATTCATTTTTTGGCCAAAATGAAAAGCTGTTATCCTTTTAAGTAAAAGACGTAATATTTTTAGAAAGTATTCCATGTGCAGCACTGCACTTCATGACGAAGCATTCAAAGCCTATGGTACCATACTTTGCACATACTCCCACATACCACTGTTTACCTAAAAGTACTTGAAAACTGGACCTACAAATAGATCTATTTTCAACAAATATCATAATGTACATGGTTCGTCAGTCAGGATCACCCTGTACAAAATATTACTTTTTTTTTCAACTGGTTCAAAACATACAGAGGTGTCTACTGACCTAAACTGTTTTTCTCTAATTACCTTGTTATACACCATGGGTTAGCACCCTTCAGTTTTCTTTTGGCAAAAGCTACTTTTTGCTTTGGGTACCACTTAGCATCCTCTTTATCCTCTTGGGATGACATGGTAGTCTGAAGCTGTTTCTCAGCGAAAGCCTGCAATAAATTGCACTGAGTGTATCTCACATTCATTAACCAATTTATGCATATTTCTGTTGGTGTTTTAACACTTGGTAGTTAAAACTTGGTAGTTTTTAAAATGTATACACTTATGTGCTACAAATAGTGAACACATAATTCAAAAGAAAACTATTTTTAAAAAGATCACAACTGTTTATCTTAAATCTTAATTTAAAAATCTGCCCCTATATACCACAGTTCTGTCACATAATGTTATAATGTTAATTGTGTACACTGCCAAAGGTAAATATATTTAACATCTATTCTTTGGAGCACATCATCTAGAAACCCATGGTATTTTGTTCTACGTAGCTTGAAAACTCAAGTTATTTATCATCAAAAAGCTATAAACCCACCAGCCAATCGACAGAAAGGTCTTTGACAAAGACATCCATAGTGTTCAGAAGGAGATCATAGTTTGCACGCAGGGCACGTAACGCATGCACCATGGTGCTTTCTATTAATCCCTTTTCACGCAGTGGCATCATCACATTCAAAATTTGCCTGGTCAGACGTATTGGCATGAGTTCTGGGACAGGTAAAAACTGGAAAAGGAATTGTCAGTGAAATGTCTGGATCCAGATATGAGTGCTTCTACTGTTGAGGAAAATTTAGCTTGTAGATGATATCATGTTCAAGATACACTTTAAAAATAGTTGGAATCTTTTAATGAATTATTTATTGCAGTGCAGTCACTGATAAATGTATTCCTTCAATGTTTTCTACTCCTTGTTTTTGTTCTTCTCTTTCTCTCCCTCTCTCTCACTCTCAAACACCCACAATACACTGATTATACTGATATCTAAAGAGTCAAATGTATTGTAAACAACACATGAAATATCATCAAACCCTTACCTGTGTCGCTGACCCAAAGGCATGCCCAAAGTCAATCCCTATCATTCCTCCGGTTTCTAGGTCCACCATAAAGTTGGATAAATGTCTGTCCCCAATCCCCAGTATGTAATGACAAATACACAGCAGTGCATGGGAGATGGCAAAATGACGCCGCAGAGTATAAAATGTCTCAGGGGAAGTGCTCATTTGTAAATATGCCCTCCTGAAAAAATTTGACAATCAGTCTAAATTATGTTGCTTTTTATTACAAGTAAAGTGCATTTTGTGTGCAAGAAACCATCAAAGTCATGTAAAAAAATCTGACACTGTTTTAACTTGGTTCTCAAAGTAAATTTGAAAAAAATATTTTGAGAAATATAAATTTTTATCCATGTCTCACCTTAGCAGATCCCAGGGCAGAGAGTTTTCCTTATCTTGGCAGCTTTTGACAGCTTCTGTTCTGCTGCACCTTTCATACATCCCCCAGTATTTCTTACATATATTAGGGTCTGATGGATTCCCGTAACGGCTTAGAAAATTTCTCTGTAGTATCGCAGCCCTAATAATAGAAATATATTCATCATTTTATCATTACGGTTCATATCTCATGATCTTACTTGGCTTTTCATTTAAATATGCTTCTTAATTTCATAAGATACCGTAACTGGAAAACAATATACAACAGATCACAACCTATTTTCAGAAAGCATCTTTATAAAAAAAAGAATATCTGTGTCATCATATCTTTTGATCTAAAATAATCTATAATAATGACGATGATGATAACAAAACTGAAATGACCACCTATCTAATCATGATAGCTTTAAAATTCCAGTTAACAACAGTTTCATATCTGGCAGTTATCAAATTAAGAAGCATACTTTTGCTGTGCCTTCTCCTGTTCTGTCATGGTGCCATACACAACTTCTTTCAGTGTCTTTGTCTGGTTGACCCATTCAATTAATCCCACTCTGAAATAAAAGACATAAATTGTTATTAAAGAGAAATTATAACATTAAGACGTTACAGCTTCCGCTAGGTTTTTCCCCTCCAAGTTATATTCAGGATATCCAGAATTTTTTGTGATGCCTGGCTAAAGATGTGATCCTGGTAGAGCTTGTAGATGATAACTACAGTACCTCATGTACAGCTGTTTGAGCTGTATGAACCCTGACAGGTAACAGACTGGTATACATGTAATTGTACCACCAGCGTTAGCGCTGGTGGTACACATGGTTTCGGTCCCGTCCGGATCGTTCCGCCGGCTNAGCACGGCGTCCTCTAAGGAGAAGGCGATCCTGTCTTCTTGGTGTGAAACGCGAACACCCTGGTCGAGGTATTGGAGTAGGTGCCCCTGTTGCAGTATTTCTTTGGAGGATTTTCCAAACGGTTCCAGATAAATGTTGAATTACCTTGCAATGGCTGTCCGTTTCTGGCCATTTTCTCTGAAAGCAAGAATCCCACAGTAAGCTGCGTTGCTTAGCTGTCGAACCATATCTTCACTAAGGTACCTGTCAAGTTTCAGAGCGATCCCTCTGTTGCTTCTCTAAACACACTCCAAAGATTGACCAAACCCATGCGTTTTTATACAAGGGCAGAAATTGCCGAAAAGACCACCCCTCACATTTCTGACCACAGAACATGCAACTGCATGCATCAATTGTTCGAGAGTTGTGTGGTAATTAGGTAACACACCTGGCTACAGATTGAGTGACACCTCAGCTTTGGATTTAAAGTAGTTAAAGAGAAATGTAATATTTTGTAGAAAATTTACTCGCCAAAAATTAATATTCCAGATTAATTCTGTAATTCTGTATTGATAGATACGTATTTGTGATGGACACTTTGGTCATTTCGACCGCAATGGCTTTAAGCGTTATATACAGGTAAGAGGTCACTGACCTTCATCTCAGCCTGTGACACGTTCACGGGACCGTAGGCCGGATTGTATAGACTAGGGTCGGTGTAGGAGGGGTCCATGACGTCATCAGAGTTGAAGTTTGAACTGTCCCAGGACCAATTGCCGTATAATCTAGAATCAGAAAATGAAGTACTTATTCTGCCTGTGGTGATAACGACAAATGCAAAATGTTTTTAAAGGAGCAAATGATGAAAATTTGAACAATTAAGACAATGTTTTTGTATCACTTATTTCTATATATGCTAAAGAATATTACGCATTAATTACAAATCTGATTCTTTTCACCTCTGTATACAGTTTATAAACCATATGGTATTTTATCGCCATATTCTGAATTTCAAAGAGAAGAAGTCAAGAATAAATATGTAATCAAGCTCATAAGTACATTGATCTTTCTTTCTAATAGTTGTCGTATTTTTTTCCTTATGACTCACATGACTCGGCAAATTCCACTGCCTTGTCCTTGGTGACCACGGTGCCATTGGCCATGGTGAAATCGTTGTCCTGGTTGTCGTCCATCAGTCCGCATAGTCCAGACGTCTGTCCCTTAAAACTGACAGTTAGACCAGAACGTACGTTAAGGAAGAGACGCCCCATCAACGGACTGAACCGGACGTCTACTGTGACAGATACACCTTTGGGGAAATAAAGCGTTGACACAATCAGTGCCAATCACCACAGGCGTGAGGAAAGGAAAGGGGGAACTATTCAATTTGGTTCAAAGAAGTGTACAGAGTCACTAAACCATGTTTTCCGTGCCTAGGACTACCATGGTTGAAATACGTAGCTAAGCCCTCCACCCCCTCCCGGTGTAACGTGTAAGAGAGCCCGCTTCCCATTCATTTATACCAGTGAGCCTTGCCCTAGATTTGGACCCATTTAGGTCAGGCAAACCCTAACCATTATAACTATACGGAGGGTGGACTTTCTGTTACACGGACCCTCAGTTTCGTTACACCGACCTCCAGCGGCTTTTTCACACCATATATAGTAGAACACATACCAGTTATTAACTCACAGCCTACAGTGTATATCACATCCAGTGACAATAGTGTATGAGAATATTCTCTTCAAATTACGCCCCTTAAGGTAAAAGAACATAAATATAACAGTCTAAATACCGGTGTCATACTGGATTGCAATCATCATCACGGCACCAGTGGCGTTGTTCCTGACCTTAGCAATATCTACAATGACGGTGTCGTTGTTAAGCGTCAATCTTGTGTTGTTTTTGGTTATGCTCTGGACTAGCCCGTCAATTCTGAGTAAAAAAAGAATTGTTATCTAAACGTACATATGTGTGTTTTATATGCCAGATATACAGAATTTTCTATATTACCGTGAGGTACATGGCACATGTAGTAGGACGTCTACAATTACGATCATTTTAATGATACCTTTAAAAATCTTAGAACTATACATCCATTTATTTCATTGACCATATGATTGATAAAACAAGCGTAACCATCATGCTGTTTGTTAGATCCAAAGTTTGATAGAATCTTTCCCGATTTTAATGTCATATTATTCAAAGGCAATGTTACTAGTACACTCTTTATACACTCCCAATTCACCTTAAAGTAGGAAAAGTGGTCTCAGTAGCATTGGTCGGTGTAGTAATGGTGGCCACACTGTGGCCGACCTTGACCGCGGCGGCACCAACCAGTGACGCTTGTTTATAGCCGAAGAACCTGACTTGTACGCCAAAGTCGTTAGCTGTACTCATACAGTCCCAGAACTCCCCGATACCATGGTAGTCGTAGGAAATACCTTAGGAAACAACGAATTCATACAGTAAGTTATACCATTACTCTAGCAAACATGGGGCACAACGGTTATTTCATTTCAACGATTACTTTCCTTTGTTTTTCGAGACGGTATGATTAGGTCAGGAAATAAACATTGATTCATACTTAACCGCCGAAGCATTGTAAAGAAAAAAATTCTCTAAAATATACACGTATGTTACAAATGTGATTCAAAGAACCGCAGTATATTATGCCTTTCCAAACATTTTGAAAAACATGTCTAAGGATAAAGTGATTTAAATTCGATGAGAAATTTGACGATGTTCACCCACCATCTGCTGTCTGTAAGTGAGGATCACCTCCCATGTTTCTTGGTATTCTGACATTACAACAGACGCCAGTCCAGAATGAGGTATACCAGCCCGCTTGGCGCCAGTTGTCGCTAGTGTGAATTCAGTCCTTCCACAGTCGCCATGTTGGAAATAATATATGTTGGACTGTGGCACTGGCCTTAATAAACATGCCTCAGTATTGTTGTGTACCTGAATGTCAAAGTCGGCAAGGTGGGCATAATTTACCTGAGGATTCAGGGCTTCGTTTGAAGTGAAGGGTTGCCCATGTCAACACACCTTCCATGTTAAAGGGACAGTTACAACTTGACCCAGGCACAGTAATTAGGCCCCTAAAGATAGACGAGTTGCCTCAAAAAGAATACACGTAGAAAGGTTAATTGATCTTGGCAAAACTTATTAAGTTTTGGAAAGAGAGCTCCATAGCAAGAAAGTGCCCCTAGGAAGTATGATTTATCAAAGTGCGTTTTCCTATGTCCGCAATTTCAGAAGAGTTGTCAGTAAATATACATAAGTGCCGGTAGCCTACTACCTGCATAAGGTTGTGTTATTAAGTAATATCCTTTTTTATTGATGTATTGAGCATGACCAGTAATGTTAATTAAATAATTATTTTTATTTAAAATAATTATTCAGTCCATCGTAAGAATCATGAAACTAGGTATAGTTAGATAATTTATTTGCACATGTATAGATGCAATTTCTCAGCCAATGGAATAATGCAGGTTTGGAAATCTTTTTGTAACAGTTCAAGAAATAAAATTTAAAGAAAGAAAACATTTTATAAATGAACAGTTTTTGTTCTTTTTTTTTTTTCAAAAAAGCACTTCTGAATTGTTTTACTTGAGTAGAAACACCATATTATTTCATCGCTCTGAAAATTCATTAAAAAGCAGCAAAACCAAATATTTTATTTAAAAAAAATAATTATTCAGTCCATAGTAAAAACCATGAAACCATGTAATACTTATACAATTTATTTGTGCAATAACTTTCCTGAAAACATAGCTGCAATTTCTCAGCCAATGGATTACTGTAGATATGGAAAACTTTTTGTAACAGTTTAAGAAATAAAAATTAAAGAAAGCAAACATTTTACAAATAAACAGTTTTTTGTTCCTTTTCACAAAATAGTACTTATGAATTATTTTACTTGAATAGAACCACCACATTATGTCATCACTTTGAAAATTCTTTAAAAAGCAGAAAAAACAAATTATTTGCTGTAAATACAACTATCAAATTATTTCATCCCACTGAAAATACTTTACAAATAGCATCATAGGATTTTTTTTTCATTACAGTTAAATATTATTAAAAACAGCATAAACACATAGTACTTTTTGTAAAGAATATAGCACCACCAAATTATTTCATTTTAATTAACAATTTTTTTTTAATGGCACTTCAAAATTGTGATTGCAGCTAAAACCATCTCATACAGGGGTACTTTCTATAAACTAGCTGACACATACTTCCTATAGTGTTTTTCATTAAATAAAGTTATCCTGGGCAAAATACATGTAGAAAAATATCCAGTGTCAGAATGGATCAACCCCACAAACAGATCTTTGAATGTAAACACAACAAAATTGCAGAATGGGCGATTTGTAATGAACATCTGGCCTTCTAACTGAATATAGTATTTGCGGGTTTTCTTTAGGCCCAGATTCGTGCACGAGATACACATTCCAAAAAGGGGAAATCAGGTCCGGGTCCAACTGTCATGTGTCTGCAATGGTTTTGGACACAACAATGATTCATACAGTTTGTTCATATACTCCTTCTCTGTAGCTGCAATTATCTCTCCAAATCTGGAAGCAGTGATCCTCCATTGTCTCTCCTTGTGTCAGATTGCGCTCTTTCCTTGTTATAACTTGCTATGCTCAGTGTCCTTCGCTGTTTGTTCCTCAACCTGAAATATTCATATCCCATTAAAGCATGGTAGATGGTTACAGCATTAAATAGTTTAGATACAATATTATAATTCTATGATGTCACACATCACCTAGTTTGATAATTCTTTATCATATTTGGGCCTGATTCTTAATATTAGACCTCTGTTTTCACTTACATCATTCCCTCTATCCATGCTTTATTCTTTTCATGGCACTTGACAATAGTTGTTGTCCATCACAGCCGCCTGTAAGTCAGCTTTAGTGTAGGCATAACTGGTGGCTACATCAATCTTTGCNTATCACCTAGTTTGATAATTCTTTCTCATATTTGTACCCGATTCTTAATAGTAGACCTCTGTTTTCACTTACATCATTCCCTCTATCCATGCTTTATTCTTTTCATGGCACTTGGCAATAGTTGTTGTCCACCACAGCCGCCTGTAAGTCAGCTTTAGGGTAGGCATTACTGGTGGCTACATCAATCTTTGCCGCTGATGTGAAGTGATAGGTAAGATTCCTGAAGTAATCATTTTATCCTGCTCTTGAAGTTGGCTGTCCTGGGGTCCTGAAATTGACAGTTTCAGGCTTTGCCCCCGATATATGGGCCTTCTTTGGGTAACCTTATAAAGAAAATAAATAAGTACATTAACTAAGTATAAAAATCTTTCGTGCTACTAAAACAAAATATGAGCGTAGGCCTACTCGTACCTACAGTAGTCTACATGTACATGTACATAACATGTCAGATTTGACACACACACCTCGACTAATTTTTGATTTTTTCAAGGAAAATAGTTAGCATTCGTGTTTTTCAAGCACTTAATAAAAAGAAAACACATACCTTCCAGTCAATCCACATTTTCATCCAGATGTTATGGCACCACATTCAAGTAAATTGCGTTTGAGTTGGTTCACTGTCAGCGACGCGTGCACACGCTCCATGTTAAACTCTGGTGTAAAGCCGTGAGCGAGATTCTGCGAGATTTTAGAAGGACTGCTTTCACCCCCACGCCATCTAGCGGCAGACCCTTAAAGCGGGTATTCCCCATTATACATTCCAAATACAGTGCTATTAAAGCTAAAATATGCATTTCCAAACAGCTCCATTTATATGTTCATACCTCTTCACTCATTGTCATTATTTTCTTTCCATCTTTTCCAAATGCACTGTCAAGGTCTTTGCAATAAGCCTATAAAATTTAAACTAAGCTTTAGTATCTATATCTCAATTTTCAGAACAATTAGTACGAAAATACATTCAATCATGTCTCCTTTGTATCTCAAGGTCTTTGCAATAAACCTATATAATATAATATAAACTAAGCTTTAGTACATCTCAATTTTCAGCAACAGTTAGCATGAAAACACATTCAATTGTGTCTCCTTTGTATTCCAAGGACATCAAAGTAGGATCATAAGATAGAAAAAAGAATATAAATTGATTGAAATGTACGTAATTAAACAAAAAATAGTGAGCACGCAAATTGAAATTTGGCCCATCTCAGACTGCTCTTTTACTTTAAAATGAACCTTGTCAGACTGCTCCTCTAGGAGAAGTTTTCATTTCTTCACAGAAATTCCCAAAATTGAGGAATTAAATGTATTGCAGGCATGCACATACATGCACACACGCGTGTGCACACACACACACACACACACAGGCATTTGCACTCGTTTCATATCCAATATGATTGACCTATTACTAGTTACAAGTAAAATTTTTTTAAGTTCGATTATGATTGATTGGAGGCTTTGCACTTTTTCTTTCATTTAAATTCTATTGCGTATCATACTTTATCTATTTAATGACACAACAACTATACCTTGGCAAACTTTTGCCTGTATTGTCCAATTTCTACTGAGTCTGGTTCTGTGTCAAAGATATCTTGTGACACTCCACCAGCTTGCCTCTGTGTCATCATGAGACTGGAGTACATTTGTGTGTAACACCGCTGTACAGCATCTGTGTTTCTCTGCTTGACATGCAACAATTTTGCCATCTCTCCTATCCAGTCCTACACAAATTTCAACATGAAATCAATTCAAATATTAAAGAATGGGGAAATCCCTTATCATAACCCTTCACATTGTCCCCACACAAAAACCTACCCCAAATTTTGTAACAAGTCAAATGGAAATCACACCAAATTGAAAAAATTTTCATCATCTTGACTTTCTAAATATCTTTATTTTTTGACATCATCAGTCCTAATTATCAAGTTCTCAGCACAGCATTATTTCTGCTAAGGTCAAACTGATAAAAAACTTTAAAACATGCAAGATAAACAATATTATCCATGTTTACTGTTTATAGTTTTAGTACTGTTTCATTTCTAGTCACCTTAAATAGCGCATTTGGTTGACCAAATTGTTCTAAAGCATTGATGAATGTCTCTACAAGTGGAATTTTACTCAGTGAAAAATCCAGTCTGAAAAAAAGAAAATACTGATAAAAAGTGTATGTGCACTTCAAAGAAAAAATCTCTTAACCCATATTATTTCTTTAATGTGCCATTAGGAAAATATAAGGTTATCTTCTTAACTTATCAGATGTTCTTCTGACAAAGAAATAACTTAAAAATGCTGAATGATAAACTCCTCAAAATACATGTACCAACCTCTCAACAACAGCTTGATTCTCTTTTCCTTCTGAAGATCGCTCAAATGTGTAACACTCTTTACTAACTTTAAATGGATAAACCAATGCCTGAAAATCAACAACACCTCACACTCAAATACAAAAGAAAACAAGAAAACATTTTATTGCATCATCTCTTTGAGGGATTTGGGGAAGGGGGAAGTCATGATTAACTAAAAAAGCAATGAAGACTTTTTTCTCAACAATAATTGCTAGTTGTCTATCTATATCAAACTTGACCAAACAATATCATCCTATTTTGATGTAAGTTTTGAATAATAACTGAAGTACATCTGGAAGTCTCACAACTCTTCTTATAAAACTTCACTTCATATTATAATTTCTCAATTCATTAACATAAAACAACACAATGTGACATTAGGAAGAGAAAAAATGTTTTACTACCTGCGGATATTCTCTGGCAATTCTAATTAGTATGTTGTGGACAGCAGGGGCTTCAGGCTTGTCCAGTAGAGCTACTAACTGACCAATCCAGGTCATGAACATCCAGCATGGAATGACAGACACCTGTATTGTAAAATATCATGGAGTACATAAGACTTTGTATTTTGAATGGAACCATTTTACTAGTATCAGGCACCAAGTTTGACTGAGCTTTTAAAAGTAACACTTATATTTCAATTTATAATATTAATTATATGAAAATTAACTAGAAAGCATTCTGGGAGTGCAAACCCCCACCAAAGCAAAAAAGAAAAAAAACTAATTTAAAAATAACTTAAAACTCATAAAACATATTAAGAGACCCACATCAGTTGAAGGTGTAATCACTTCTTTCCACCCTGATTAACTGACTATCATGAAAATTTCATGAAAATACTGATGAAAATATAAGCTGCTTAGTTGGGGGAAGAAACTATACACATTTTCATCCGTAAATAAGGTAAGCAAACATGACAATATTTAAGCAATTAATGGTTTAATCTACTGCTACTATCTGCCTTCCATTGATGATGTCAATGAACAGATAGGAGGAGGACCAAGTACCTTACCTTATTAATGAAACCTTGCATAGTGTCTGGATAATATTCCACCAGCTGTAACAGACGTGGGAAACGCTGCCTGGCATCCATGTGGTCAAGCTCAATACATCTCAGGAGTGAAGTGACCACTGCCTCAGGGTAGCTGTCTATGGATTCACCAGTCAAACTATCATCTTGAAAAGTTTATGTTTAAAATTAGACCCACTATTTATTTCTTACTTCTTATATTCAATAGAACATAAAGTATGCATATCATATGATTTGAACACCTTCCAATACATCATAAATAATACAAATCTTTTAAAAGAAACATTTTTACTCCATTTTAATAATCACTTAATGCTTATCTGTGTTTTTAGCATTTCTGTAAGGATATACCTTCTTCTCTAAGCTTCAAGTATTTGTCACAGTACTTGGCAAGAGCCATGTGTGTCTCTACAGTGCTTTTATCATTGGAAGAATCTTCTTCATAAATATCTACAGCCTCTTTGATATACTGGTATCCTCTGTCTACAAGACCATTGATGATCTGGAACAATATTGAAAAACATAGCCAGTGCTCTGTGTTCAAAATATACTCACACATGTATGCACAAATTTTCAACTGACCCCCAGAAAAAAAAAACGCACAAACGCACATATATTACTTCAAGCTATTAATTTTAAACAAATGCAATGAAGAGGGTCTATCAATGCAATTCAAAATAGGTGTATGTCATAACAGACTGCAGTAAGTACTGTGAAAACAATGGTTTACCTCTTGCATGTCTGCATTCTGCATGGAGCAGCTGGCTGCTTCTACCAATTTTTGGATATCTCTGGGTGACACCGAGCTGAAGTCTGGCAGTGAAAGAAGACTAGATGTCACAGAGTCAAAGATGTTGCCCTGAAGAACCAGATGTCTCCTTGTTAAAACATTGGACTCTTTCACCAGTTTATGATCCCGTTTTCTTTCTGAAATGAAATTTTAGATACTACTTATATGAAAATAAACTAGAAAGCACTCTGGGAGGTGCAAACCCCCACCAAGGCAAAAAGTAAAAAAAATAACTAATTTAAAAATAACCCATAAATGAAATGGCAACAAAACTGTTACATGCACAGAGATGAAAGGGCCAGCTTTTAAATTCTTCTTTTTTTTTCAGAAAAGAGACATCAGTGACAACAAAACTGGCATATGTACAAACATAGAGACTTAAATCAACACAAGGTTAAACAATACACAAAGTAAATTAGTTTTCTGTTAAACCAGACAAAAGAAATAAATTGGTAAAGTATTTGACTGACTGAAACTTTTCAGCACTTTTTTTCCAAATAGATCTAGTATTGGTTTGCTAAGCAGAAAAAATTTCCTATGAGACTGACCATAACATTAAGCTGTTATGCTTATTTGTTTAATACACAAAAATGTACCGAAATGTTTACAATGCATCATGCTTGCTGACAAACTTATCCCTTTTGTCTCGTTTTTCTTTAACATAATTCTATTAAAGCTGAACCTGGCAGCATTAAATGTACCTAGAAGTCCCAGAGCTCCTAGCACTGGGGACAAAGTAGCACTGGCATCCATGGTAACCTCAGTGATTTTGTTGTGCAACTTTGCATAGCAGTGGTAAAACTGAATCAGGACAGGGCTTTCACTCAGACTCTTCACTTCCTACAACAAAATTAATGATATAATATGTTAATATCAGATACTTCATGTATGTATGTATTAATGTCTGTAGTCGTGTAAATACTGGCACACCCACATTTGCACAAAACAGAAGGTGAATTGCAATATTTTTAAATGGTTGAACATAAAATTAGTTATTCACATTTTAACGACCCAAGATTTATATCTTTTCCATCCAACTCCATTTAACTATACAGTGAGCATGAATTTTATCAACTTAAAGTGTACTTTTAACAGAACCTAAAATGTCACTTAACAGATTCAATGATTTTGAGTTTTTTCTTGGCCACTGGGAAGTTGTGTTGCTCCACAGCACTCTCTGCCTGAGCTAGGATAAACTGTAGTCTCTTTTCTCTGAATTTGTCTTCTTCCTCAAACTCCTCCTGAACCGAGGACAGCTTGTGGCAGAGTTGGTCTACATACAAACAACTGAAAAGGGAAATAGGGTACCAGTAATGAATGGGTCAGAAAAAGATGATCGCAATCGAAAGGGATTAAAAATGAAAAATTACAAAATTATGAAAGTTGTGAATGGTAAAAGTAAGTTATCTAACTAATCTAATAAACGTATATGGATAGTGGAAATAGAGATGGCTTGAAAGCAAATAAAACTTGAATACCTTCAAATATCTTCAATGTAAAAATGCAATATGCTTAAATACTACTTTTCAAAATTTCATTCTTATGTGCTAGATATTAAATCAAAATGGTCCTGATATAGCCCACTGTTTTTGTCAAATGCTGCACAGACTACAACCTTACTTCCAGACTTCCACAATTTTACACTAGTGAACAGTTATAATGACAGACTGCAATGCTAGCACTGGCCCAATGCCAAATGTCAGGTAAAATAAACTAAGGTCTGTAAAATTTCTAAAGTAACTTTTTTTTTGTTTGTTTTTTGCTTTGGTCTGCCAGGCCAGCACATTCTCTCTCTGGTATCCCGAGGGACCAAGAGTTTTATTAAAAGTTAATGGCACAGATATGAATTATCTTGCAGAGTCAAAGAATCAACTGACTAGAAAATCTCACCGGTTTGTAACAATATCATCCCAGATATTGCACGGCTCCACAATGGGATCTGGTGATCTCGTCTGCCATCTTGTCACCAAACTTAGAGCAGCTTGGGAGTCTTGGAAGGTGTCTGAATAGGAAAATAAACCTTTTTAATTCATGAAAAAATAATGAGCTCCAAATGTAGACATACACGTTTGGACCATGGTTAAGAGTTGTCTGTGATAAAAAATCAAGTCCTGAGGTAGATTTATTTGGGCCATGGTCAAAGTTGTATTCACAGTTGAAAAGTCTATAATGATAGAACAGCAGCTGAAATTGCTTAAGTTTGAATGCAGTTACAGACTAGATTTTATAAATAGAAACCCTAATGGTAAAATTAAACCATATATTAAATAAAATCACTTCTCTGCAAAAGAACATGAACAAATGAAAATAGCTCATTCTGACAATGTCTAGATAATTTAGTCTTACCTTCATTGCTCACAAAATCTAAAAATTCTTGCATTTCTGTCAGTTTTTGAAGGATCTGTAATTTTCCAATTCTGGTGGTAGTCATCAATGTGTCAATACTGCCCCAATCCTAAAATCAGAGAATATAGAAAAAAACTTTTCTGTAGACATAAGACTATTTCACCTAACTTCCAACTGAATGGCTAAACAAAATGAAAATTAAGATAAACTTATAACATCAATTATACTAATAATATTAATTATTTGATATATCAAGAAAACTTTCAACTACGGAGATTATCCTTCGTATAATTCCACCCAAGGAGGTGTAATATAGACCTGACATTGTCAAAACGACAGAGATAAGAATAATGCTGTAAAAGTAGACCCCCCTTCCCCTGTATTTTCAGTTGCTTAAACACTAAAACATATTTAAGCAAATATACAAAATGTGACAATTTGATAACAATCCCTGATGATGATGATGATGACCAGAACTACTTAATATATATATATATAAATTATATATATATATATATATATATATATATATATATATATATATATATATATATATATATATATATATATATATATCAGATAATTAAGACCACAGTGGGTTCCACACCTGAAGGAATGTCTTGAATACAATGCTGGTGTAGTGCCTGGCTCTCGCATAGTCTTCTTGGAACAAGTACAGTAAAGCCAGTTCCTCACTATAGCGGGCCTGCAACAAGTGGTATAAAACCATTATTAATGCATGTATGCACTAGCATGTAAGTGCATGTGTACATATATGTTTTATTAACATATATGAATGTTTGCAAGCATCTACTTGTGTAAGTTCAGTGCTTACAGCTGTAGATGAAATGGTTTTATACAGACTAGAAATTACAAATATTTGTATCTGAAGAAAAAAATCAAAAGTTAAATCTGCAGTAATACAAACCAGGAACTGAAATAGACACTCAAAAATTCAGACACAAAGCACTTGTTACTGTAATGTTCAATGAACCATGGGAGCAGTAGGTTCTATTTATGAATAAACTGAATATTCTGGTGACTAATTTGTACTCACTTCCAAAAATATTTTCTGTTCCTCTACGTTCATGGAATTATCTACAAAATCCAGCATGTCCTGCTGGTCTTCATTGCCCTGCAGCAATAGTTTCACCTTGCTTCTTAAAATGTATGGCAGGTAATGTTCCTAGAATTTTTACAGACAAATATGTTATTTAATGTAAAATTTGAAAACTAATTTGACACACAAATGACACAAAAGCATTTAAAAGAGGATAACAATTCCACATATGCTATTTAAGATATGCAATTTACAAAACTGATGAAAACTATTTCAAAAATGTTGTAAAATACACAAAAACCAATTTTCACATACACAATAAGAAAAGCAACATTAAAATTATTTAGAAAATGATAATGAAATTATCAACCTGGTAGTAAGCATCTTCCCATATTTTATTGAGTCCTGTCTCTTCCAATCCCTCAATGCAGTCCATGGCTTCAGTGCCCAGCTCCTCCCAAGACATCAGCTGGTCAACACACAGCAGGTAGGCATCTACCCAAAGCTCTTGCTCCAAACCATCTGGCTCTCCATCCGTCCAAGAGTCACATTGTCGAGCCTAAATGCATAAATAAATATATACAATATGGTAAATCTACAAAGTCAGTCATACTGTCAAACCTAAATACATGTATAATAATGAGTACAACAAATTCTGCATTCCACACAGAAAATAAAGCTTCATTTCAGATTTTAAAAAATACCTCTCTGTAGAGATGTGAGGCAGTCTTGTAGTCTCTTCTTGACTCAGCTTCCAGTGCATCTTGGGTAATTTTCTTGGTACCTATCTTACTGCTGAAGATGCCTCGTACAACATCAAAATCCCCCAGTGACTTATATAATCTGTAAATATGGAAAAATGTATTTCTAATTTCATGCATATGATATCAAAGCCATGTTATCATTTAAGATAAACTGTTAAAACATTCTGAATATAAAATTAGTCATATTTAAAATAAGTTTTTTCTGCTAATTGAAAATTTTTCAATCAAACTTCTGTCAGGCAAACTCAGCAAAGTCAATATAATTCAACATGTGCAACAAAGAGTGCACCTAAGAGAATCAAACCTGTTATATTTCAAATATTTGAGCCATGGCAAGTTGTGCAATACAAAAGATCTGCCACTGGGTAAAAATGATTGCAGTCCCTAAAGTAGCCTTTATGAACAGTTCAATGAATCATCCTACCTTGCCAGTTCCAGCCACGTACTGGTCTCTTGAGATGGTACTGTAGCACTGGTCCGGGCTCTCTTGGCTGGTCTTCTCTCAATGCTGCCATCTCTGATCAGCTGCTCTTCCAACAACACAATTCCTGAATTAAATGTGAAATGCTCTAACGTGATTACCTTGTTTTGTTGATTTGTTTTTCTCATTACCTGCCTCTTATTATAACATGGTTATTTGTTTGTATGCCTGTTGCCAGGAGAACTAAAAGCATGTTCTTTCTTCCCAGGTTAAACCAAATCTGTATACAGTATTTTCAATATCATCAGTCAGTCCGTCACATTTCAGCCAAGCAAAAATCAACCACAGCAAAGTAACGCTGGAGACAGTGACTTACAAAACAAAATTGATACAGTTGTACAACATGGAATGTGAACTGATAATACACCTATACATTATACACCAAAAAACTTATATATAGACATTTACTGGGTACCATATATACGCGTGTGTGTGCGTGTGCGTGTGTGCATGTGTGCGTGTGTGTGTGTGTGTGTATGAAGATAACCTGTGTTTAGCTTTGAAAATAGCATTTTTTTTACACCAATTCCAAAGCAGGTGACCTTAAACTAAGACACACTGATCCAATGAATTAAAATCAAGATAAACTTTTGACCAAAATTATTTTGTGATACTGGGGATGTAATGTCCCATGACACAGACCTAAGGGTTGCTGCATGCTGATCAAGCTGGCTGTGTCCACTGCTGAAGGTTCCAGTTTCAGCCTTCCAGAGTTGTTGTATACAATGTTCTACAATGAGTGAATAAAGAAATCTAATTGTTGATAAAATATAAAAGCCTGATGTTGGCAAAAAATGTTTTTCTACTGAATGTTTAATGCCAAAAAACTGTACTTAATACACAATTGTGTTAACTTCTTAATTTATCTTGTACCAGTGTTACAAAAAACACAATAAACCATGCTTTGAACTATGCAAGATATTACTGAAATTCATCGTTTCCAAATTCTAAGCAACCTGACTTTCTATCATCAAATTCAACATAAGACTTACGTGTAAAGAAACAAGGCCTAACAAATGGAATATTTGAAACAATTCAGCAAACCATCAAATTATCATACCTCAACACATCCAATGAAAGGTGAAAAATACTGTGTTGAAGAATCCAACATGGCGTTGAGAGATCTACTTATCTGCGCCATCATCTCTGTGGTCTCTCTCTCTGTCTTTACTTGATCCAACTCGGAGAAAATTGCTCTGAACAAAGCACTAAAGAGCATCTTTGCCAGAGTATTGTCCCGCTAAAATAAAACATCATGTCCTTAAATGAACTAAAAACAAAATTTATCTTCAAGGACATATCAGGGGTTGTGAATGCATAGAGAAATTAACACTTCGAGAAAATAGTTACTCATTCCATTTCAAACAATATGTATTATACAGTTTTATCAAATTATCACCAAAACTTCCAAAGGACAAGAATATGGCAAAGTTATATATCATCAATAGATGGGAACACCTGTGCTAATGCTTGCAGTGGGGCTATAACATAGGAATATTTAATCTGGATATCGGGAAGATCCCCAGTCCGGTACTTTCTGTACATTGTCACTTGTGCTTCTCGTCTCAGTTTCTGCTCTTTCAGGGCTTCCTACAAAAGATGTAAAAAATGTTTTAAAAAACCAGCTTCCATTTCTAAAAAAAAAATGGCCATGCTTTTTACTATGACATACAAAAACTTTAGACTTTGTTACTTTGAATAATTATAAAATAACCACATGAGCTAAGATAAATATTTTGACCAAATATTGATGGATAATGCACCCACCATTTGTTTTTATATACACATAAGATTTTACCACTCACTGACAAAGCATTTTAATTATTGAAAAACATAATCAGTTTTTTTTTTTTTTTTTGCTGGAGTATATATATATATATATATATCATCAATATATATATATATATATACACACTCCAGCAAAATATACATATGTTTCTAATATGTTTTTAGAAAAGAAAATATGTGGTCTCATATAATACAATGACCACTAAATAAGAACCACCCTCTTACCTGTCTCATTGCTTGCAATCTGATGTTCTTCTTAGCAAAATATGTACTCCTGGCTCTTTGATCTTTCAAAAACCTCCTTTTCAAATTTTGAATCTCCTCTTTCTCAGAGTCATCTAAGAAGCCAATTAATTGAGGTTGTAAAATACAATGCATTCATGTCTGTGCAGATGCTTTTATCAGAAAAAGTGTCAACCATGATAATATAGTCTTAATACAAGCTCACCACACAGAGGTGTATATTGTATTAAAATAAATGTTTTCCAAAAGTCAATGGGTACAGCTTGAAAAGTTATGAACCAATTATTTACTTCTTAACAATCACAAAATGTTTCACACCTTCTCTTGAATCTGTGAAGTCAGTGCCTTCCATTTTCAACCTCCCCTTGCCAAACTCTGGACCAGTCTTCTTGTAGCGCTTTTTCTTTGGCGTCTGATTCTCATTCGCGGTCCCCACATTGAAAAGCAGGGAGGACTGAGTCTCCATAGACTGAGTACTGTATTCAGCAAAAGTATCCAGACTACTTTGCGTCAACCAATTGTAGGGAGCTTTTACAGCACCTGAATAAAGTTCACTCAGCATAAAAATTTGTGCACTTACAATTTTCAAAGACCACAATAATATTAACCAAGGTAATATTATTTGATAACAATAAAAATAACTCTCATAGATAAAAATGTACCCAAAGCCTACTTCAAGTACTTTTTTAATGTTTTTAAAAATATTAATTAGCACCTCTACCTTGTGTTGGTGTAAACTGTTGTATTTCCTGTGTGGCACGTACACCTACAAAACTGTCATCAAAACTTCCTGACTGGGTCCCATCTGCCAGAGAAAACTGCGTCTCAGCAAACAATGGTGTCATGGCAGCATGCCTTTGCTTCCACGAAGAACGCACAACAAAATCCTACAATATCAAGGCAGCTTCTGATTAGAAGACTAATCAATCATTTACATCTTTTCAAACATACAATGTTTCACGCCCAAGAAACTTCCGAGTTGTTGCATTGCATAATAAACAAATTTCTGTCTCAATTTTTAACTTTGAAAAAAGTTTGGAGTGACTTTTTAACTAGACCATTTCACTGCAACTTTGCTAGAAAAGTTTCACTGCAATTTTGCTGGAAGAGCTTTTGCCAGAGAGCTTTCTTTCACTGAAAAAAAATACCAACTAGCAAAGCTGAAACAGCAATCAACCGTGCCATATGCAATTCATATACTTATCATTTTCCTAAATTTTAAGATACCAAAGACTTTAAATTACATACCTCAAAAGGGCAATCATCCAATGGATGTTCAAAGATCTCTCTGTTATAATCTGGGCTTTTGGATGTCATCTCAAGTATGAAGTTGGTTGCGTAGCTGAGGTAACTAGATTCAACAGAGGGAGAATACATTGCTTCCAGCATGGCAACCATTCTCTCCAATGTTCCTGCTGGAAGTCTGGACTCATGACTCCAGAAATTCATAACCCTTAACCTGCAAAATTAAAAAATAAATTAGTCACTTTAAAATCTCATTACATAAAAGATGTTATATAAGTGAAAAGGATATCATGGTCAAATACACTTACTAAAAGGTGAAGAAGAGATATGATTCAGGAAATTTTATGTATCACATGACTTCTATTTTCTACAAAACACTGCATATACCAATGTCTCATAAACCCAAAACAAACAACAAAATTATCATCTGCACTAGACCATTTCTTAAATCTGATATCAGATATTACTTATGAGATCACGTATGTCTTACTTAAATAAGATGCCCATAAAATATAAAAGTTTATTACTACAAATGTTACAATTGATTCTAAAATTAGCCTTTGCCATCTTCCTTTTGCATTTTCAGTCTTAGAGTGTCCTTTTATTTCTATGATTGATCACCAAAAGTAGTCACCTGAGTCCCAGATCTTTGTCAGACATGCCGTTTAGCAACGCATCCTTGGTCCTACTCATAATCTGGTGTACTGTGGCATTGTTTTCATCTCTACAAATACGTTTAGTTCAATTTTGGTATAAGACAGCAAAGTTGTCAAATTAAAAGATACTAATATCATCATGACAACAAGAGATAGTTTCAAGAAAAATATGATTTCTTGTTGCTTGCTTACTTAATAGATAAATGTACAACATCTTGCTCTTATAAATAGGTAATATTCATACATACAATGTTCCATGATAATCTTTAAAATAACTGTCTGGAGTACCGAAAAAAAAGATATTAGTCCACCTTTGCCTTTTTACCCCAAAAATTACCTGTAGTTGTCGTATATCCACATAAGTATGTCATACATCAGACCTCTGCAAGGCATGCTGGGGCTGCTGGAGAAAGCTGTCACTGCCGGCAGAAAGTAAAGAACCTCATCTGGCTGCAACCTCCTAAGAAGCTCATTGACTATCTTCAGACAAACTGCTTGTGTGCTGTCATCTCTGCAAAGAAATCAGACCAAGTTTGTCATTGTCAAACTGCCTGGTATATCAAGTAACTTTCTACTATAAATTAATACAATATAAATGACTCCACACTGAATAAAAAATATTAAGTTTATTTTTAATGCAAGACAAAAAACAAGAATTTTATTAAAACAACCCCAAAAAAGAACCCCAAAATGCTACTTTTTATTAAAGCAACCCCCAAAACACTGAAACAAGAATAACACTTTACAAATTGAACCCATAAACAGAGGTAAAAACTCAAGACCTGCATGAACAAAACCATAAAAATCAAACACCCTAATAACATCATAAAATAGGTAATAATACACATATATTCCTTATTGTGTGATACCTGTGAGTGAGCATAGTAAGCAGCCCCTTATTCTTCAGCTCTATGAAAGCATTCTCCATGTTCTGGACCCTGGAACTGATCACCTCAAGACAATGTCTCTTGTATTCTCCATGAAGACGAGGAAGCATAAACAGCAGCTTGTTCATAAATCTGTAAATTCAAGTGCTACTATTAGTTACATCCCGAATACACTTTTCTATCATCTTTTGTATAGGCTCCATAAAGCTTTAACTTGCATAAGTTAAAGCAGGATCAACAATTTGCAACATATTTTGTCAAGAGGTTGACCAAATTAAAGCACAAATTCATTCTATTTTCATGCATCCACTTACAATTAGTTCATCTGAACTGAATCCTCAAAAATTAGGGGAAGGGATGAGACATAATACACATGCATGCATACTCATGTGCACACACACACCCACACATACACAAAAAGACAAACACAAAAGTACTTCCCTTCTTCCCTAAACCCATACAAGTATACATAAACATGTAAGTATCATTACACAACACACCTTTCTGCAATTGGTTTATGGTGTAGATGCATCTTGTATACACACAACATGTAAGTGTCTGGATTGGATTGCTGGAGAGAGGAGAGCACAGAATGCAGGTGGTTGACATATTCCTCCTTGAAATCTTTATCGTGCTGGTCCAGGTCTTGCAGACACATGCCCACTACTTCTGCAGCAGCAGCTGAACTTGTTTTCCAATAGCTGCCCATATTGGATGCCAAGGCTTTGTAAAACCTTAAAATATTGTAAAAGTGAAATTATTTCAGATAATCAAATTTCTCAGACAATACTGTAAAAGAAACTTTTTTTCATTTTTTATTTTCAAATTAAGTGACTGTTGTTGGTGCAAGTATGCCTGAAACGTGCTGAAAAGTAGAGAGAGATTGTTATAATCTCAAAATCAGAGTCTATATACCATCTAAATCTGCCCAAAATCAGCAAGTAGCCCCTCAGGACCATAACTTTGCAACTGGGCTTACAAGATTTAATTTAATTTTTGAAACACATTTGAGGAATCACAGAGGCCTATGGCCATAGGTTTGAGAGTATATCCTTAGACCCTTAGTCCTAAAACATTATAATTCATATGCATGGAATATTGAATGTGCTGAAATTAGTCTTGAAGATGGAAGCTGCTCTGACAACATCAAGTTGGAGGATATTAAACATGCACACATCAATAGATAATTTAAACCTTACTTTTCCCTGTCAACCTCAGAAGTATAAGAGTAAGCTGGCAGTTTATTGGCCAGAAATACTCCAACCATCTGCACGCCTGCTGTGTTGGTTTTGCTCTTGGGGTCACGGTCACTGAAGTTGTCATAGATGATTCTGAAATGAATAAAGATACTGATATGTATTACATCTCCGATATCAGTTATACAAATATTTTAAAGTTCTAGTCAACACTGTTACTTCTTTTCTGCCATTCAGAATCTGCTAACATTATAAAAACAAACATATATGCATGAGTTTTCAATGGTTCTTTTACAGTATGCTGATGAGTCAAAGCACAGATTTTATTAAGTGCATCAGGTTTTTAAGACTTCATAAACACAAGGGATATAATTTACTCCAAATCATCTGCCACAGCATTTCATATGATTGGACTTTCTGAAATTCATCTTGTATTGAGTTTTTATAAAGAAGGAGAAACTGTTTACTTTGTTGGCATATCAAATCTGCCCTTCCAGCACTCCACCAAGGTTTTCAGAAGCTCAAGGTTTCTTCGGAATATCTGCCTGGTGTCATGGTTAACATTCCTCACCACAAACTCAACAAGCCGGCTTGCCATAGCCCTGTCCATTGCAGTGTCCTAGAATAACATACACATTTTATAATTCACCCTTGCATACACATGGTGGATGTGTGCTCATATCCCACGTGTGAGTCATATTTTAGACTATTATAATTTTTTTTTTAATAATAAACAGGTATATATTTATTCAGGCCACCATGGTTTAACCCCAATCTTCACCTTTCTTACCTGTGGTACAGCCACACTAGACCAGGATAACACAGTGACCATAATATCCACTACATAATAGTTCAGGCCTTCATCCGGCATATCCCTCACCATCAGCTGGACCAGTGGACCCAGCCAAAACTTGGCATATGGTGCAAATACCTATAACGAATCATATAAAAATTGGCCATAGATTGAAACAACAGGTGAATGGGATTTTAAGAGAAAAGTTCATATCCCAAAGCATAGGCAGGCATAGATTACTGAAAAAAATGTTGACAGTCGCATTGTAAGAATCTAGAATATTGTGCCATAGAAAAAATTAGTATTTTTTCCAGAAATACACAATTACCAGTTTTAAATTCTTATCATTTCAACCAAATACTTTGGAACACATCTGATATTTGGGATAGAAAATTAAAAGAACAGTTAATTTTTTTTAAATTGCTTACTTCTTCTGCATTGAGAATCAACTTTGCAATGAACAGTTTGACATTAATGTGTGTGGTGGTAGAGTTCATCTTGTCACGCAGATACTTCATCCAGGGAGGTACATCTAGAGGATTGGACACCTGCAGTGGATGTAAAGAAAGGGTTACGAAACAAGAGGACAAAACACAAAGTTGCCAACTCTTTGCAATTCCTCATATTATGTGCATTTAAAGCACTGTTTTTAATGGATTTAAAGTTTTTTGATATTATCCTAATTTATCATATAATAATTATTTATGAACCTACCACATCTGGTGTGATCTTGTTCCTTTGCATGTGTTTCAGCAATGCAGTCATGGCAGTCATACATTCATGTTGATTCAGCTCATCCATTTCTATCTCTTCATAGTCTGCTTCTGCAGGCACTGCTGCTTCCTGCAGGTACACAACTAGGTCATTTTTTATGTCAAGGAAAAAAGTTCTGTAACTAACTAATAAAATAATGTAAGAGGGTCATATATATATATAATAATAATAAACATGGTTAGTTGGTCAGACTATTTGAGGCTGACAATTCATTTTTTAATTTAAAAAAAATACACTATATGTCGGGATTATATAATTTGTACTTCAGGAAAAAGTATGACAATGCTCTTTTGACACCACTTACTTTGAAAAAAAAGAGACAGACAGACACAGATCTTTGAACAATCCCATATACGTGGGAGAGTGATCACATACATACCTCAGATACTGCCCTCTGTCTTGTTCTAGGTGGCACAGGCTCACTCCTCTCCCCCTGAAAAACAAGGCAAAAAATGGAGAATCACAAATTTTTAGGCTTTTTAATATATTATTATAAATGGATTAGTACATAATATATAAATCAGTGCACAACATAACCGATTTCAAACTGGAGAAGCATAAGTCCACCATACAACATTAGCATCCTTAAATGGAGTAACAAAAAAGAAACACTATAAATCAATAAATTGTAAAAATACATAATAGAAAAGACTTACCTGTAATGATCCAGAGTAGTCATAAGCAGAGACGTCCTCACTGAGACTACTGTCAGCAAGGTACTGGGAGGCCAGGTAATGGACAGAAGACTCTGCGGAATCCTGGGAATTCCCATCCCCCTGGGCTCCTGCTTCACTTCTGATTGACACAAACCTCTTCTTGCGCTGTGGCAAAGACTGATAACAGGGAAAATGATAACTTTTTCACAATCTTTTTCTGTCAACAGAGATACCAGCATCAAAACTAAAGTACATAAAATATAACTGATATAATTTTGACTTGAATTAATTCTTCTACATACTTCACAGTTGTGCGTACTTACCGTAATCTCTATTTCAAATAAGTACTTTCTGTTTTGGTCCACTATGTTGTCCAAAAGAAAATCACCCTGAAAAAATCATTCAAAAGACTCAATAACAAAGAATGTATATAACCAGTTACTGAATATGAGATACATACAAATATCAAAAATACAAAATCTGACAAAAGACTCAGGCAAATAGTTTAAACATGGTTAAATATCATAATAAATATCATAATAAACAACAAAGCATCACAATAAATGGCAAATTAAAAATGAAAAAAAATGTATGTACTTTGTATATCATTCAGTTTAGCCACATGTACATTATTCTGTGTGTGCCTTTTTTAGTAGAATTTGAATTTATTTGACAACATTTAATACGCCAGGAATACCTTAGCAAGATCCTCTTTGAAGAGAAGTCCAGTGTAAAACTTCATTTCAGTCTGAGTGCAGGTGATAATGGCCATGAGAGCATTGTAAGCTGCACAGTGGTACTGTCTCCTCAGTTCAGGAAGCCTCTTTTCTCCTCTCACATCCTCCTTTTTAGCCTCATGTGCTGCCCTGATGGGAAAAAACTAACACTGGTGTCCAATATCCCTTGACCAAAGAGAAGTATAATAAAACTTAAGAAATTAAATACTTAATTATACCATTATAGCTTACTTGGTAACTGCTGTTGTCATCTCCTTCCCAGTTTCAACCTTTCCACCACAATATTTCAGATTGATCTTTGAATTTTTGCTGTTCACCTCCTCTTTGGGGAAGCTGGAGTACATGACTTCCACCAGTTCAAAGCAGCAAAGTTTTAATGTGAGCAGTCTTTCTATTTCACTCTCTGAACTCTGAAAAAGAGGACATCTTTATGAAAGGTAGTTATGTGTGCCAGCAGTGTAAATGGCAATTTACAATTGAGAAAATAGTCATTTTTCTGTCTTCTATCTACATACTTACTACATGTTTGGTGGGTTAGCAAAGTGTGTTTTTGTGCGTGCGTGCGTGCATGTGTGTGTGCAAGCATAGGTGTGTGCACGCATGGTGCATGTTTGCATTTGTAAGCAAGAAATAGAGAAAAGGAATAATTTAATTTAAATTTGTTTAATATTTTTCAGATGTTTTCACAGAACACTTCTCTAGCCTACCTTGGACAGTTTTGCACTCAGAGTATCTGTGATGAATTTGATGTGGTCCACATAGAACTCACTAAGAGAAGACTGGTGACACAATCTCAACAGTGGTACACACACACGGCTTAATGTTGAACGACGGATTTCATTGGGAAATAAACCTTCTTTGGTAAATATATTGAAGGGAACATCTAGAGCAGCCTTCTGATGGCCTGTAGGAAGCCTGCAATGAGAAATATAATAAATGCTAAAGTAATTTTAACTAAATCTTATCAAAATTTCATAAATAACAGGAAATTCTTTGAAAATTCATAAAACACTTGTAATTTCTAAAAACCAAGATAAATGGGAAGATAAGGACAGGTTTAAGAGTATTACAAAACTGGATTTCTACTAAAGTCAACTGAAATTGATGATATGCTTTTCAAATACTTCTTGTAAAATTTTCAGTAAGGATGGAAGACTGTCAATCAAGATGAACAACTGACATCCTTGACATAAAGTTGCTGGGATATCATTTAAAAAATTTCACCAAATGGAAAACAAAAACATGAAACCTCTTAGCAGCCATACTTAAACCAAGTTCTTTTATTCCTTTTACCTTCTGATGAAAGTCACAAGCGACTCTTGCATTCTGTCTTCATAGACATGATTCTTTTCCCTGCACATAATGCTGATCAATAGCTCCAACAACATCAGACTGCCTGATAGCTCCAGTGCAGATAAAATCTGCAAAAATACATTTTCTTTACTATATCTGTGACAAATAAAAAAGATGTTTAATCATCACTTACCTAAAACTAATATCTATAGTAAATATTTTGGTTTGAATGTACAGGTACCAAATTAAAACATGATTTCAAAATTAAAATTTCAACCTTTTCAAATACCCAGCTTTATTATTCACCAAATTTGAACCTAACAATACATGGTGGTTTTACATTTGGGTGCATTGACTCCAGAGCTTTTGAAAGAGCTGAAGTCAGGTGCACAATAACAGGTACCCAAACTGGCCCAATGTGACTGAAAGATCTTGAATTACTTTGCTCAGAGCCATGATATATTCTTGATATTTGGGGCTGCCCACTGCATATTCAGAACTCCTCAGAGGGAAGTGGTCTGCAACGATTCTGTCCAAACAAGCTCTGCAGAAGTGAAAAATTAATTTATTACATTAGAAGCTTTTTTACAGTTGGTAAACACAAATACTTAAACCAAAGCTATCAAACTTTAAAATCTTTTCATAGATGATAACCAGATAATAATGCTTTCGAAAATTTATGAATTTCAAAATAATTGTTTTATCACTATCATTGATTATTTAGTGCATAAATTCCTGGTCATATTTTTGTAAAAATTGTGTAAGAATCACAGTAAAGTTCACAAACATACACTACAAAGGAGTTTTAAGAATTCTCTGGGCAATAGAAATATCCAATACAATGTAATATGAGTTTTTAAATCAAGAGTTACAACTATTAAATCATTTCAAAACCAAAGATTAACACTTCATAAAATAATAAATGTCAGATGATGATGATTATTATTATTATTATTAAGCACTTACTTGAGTTGCTGTGTTTCTTTTTCTGGCAATTTGGCAAAGAACACAAGAAGATCAAGGACTTTGCACTGAAACAGTAAGAAGAGATCCATTCTTTTTCATATTTCAAAGAATAAGAAAATTAGAATTTCAGGGAAATTTAACAGAGCCTTTTGCACAGTGTGTCTTCAAAAAGAAAGTCAGAATTTTCATCAAAACCACTTTCATTTTTAATTATAAAAAATTAATTTTTCAAAACTGGCTTTGGAATGTTGTGACTTAGCAAAAACTGAACAACGCATGTCTTTGGATAGGCTTTAGCTTACTTCTCTAACAGAACAGTGGACATGAATTTCTTATCAATTTAATACAACTTACCTTAAAAAGCAGTGAGCTCTTGGTGTCAGTTAGCATACTCTGGTACATGGAGAACACACAGGAGAAAGATGGGTGTGTGGGATCTGAGACTACCTTGAGTTGGTGAAAAATAATATAACTGAATCATTTATTTTGGTTATTTATTTATTTATTTATTTATTTATTTATTTATTTATTTATTTATTTATTTTTGTTAAATTAATTATCAAATATATACAAACAACTCAAATAATCTTATAATCCAAATTTTGACTTTCTTCTTTGATAAAAGTTCCCCCTCATGGTTTCTTAGTTAGTGTTTAACAAAAATAAATAATAAATAATAATTATAATATAATGTAAACTCACAGCAACCAATTTTCAGTTAAAAAAACAAACACTAGATACAGATTCCAAGCATACTGGTATTTGCACAATTAAAACAAAGCATAGTAGCTGACATTATTGTTTCTGATTGTTGCACCAATAAATGAATCAGCCTAACAGACAGATAGTCAAAACCTTGTAGAGCTTGTGCAGAGATTTCACTTGTGTTTAGCTCTTTACACTTGTGTTATAATTCTTTTATACCTTGCCATTGATTAGAAGCATCTTTCTCAGCAAGTTCAGTGCAGACATTTTGACTTCCTGTGGACTGTCAGGGGCCCACCATTGCTGTAACTGTAACTGTGACCAGCAAGACAGTACCACATCCACCACAGTCTTGCCTTCTCTGTAATTATATATAAATTCATCTTGATAGAAATTTCGTGAAATCACATTCTCATCATCTTTGTAAAGCAGCATGTTTATAAGTAATTTTGAAATTATTTCCATGACACAAAACATAAAAAACATTTAGACAAAAAAAAAATTCTGAATGAATTGAAAAAGAGGCATTCAAATTGGGCATTTGATTAGAATGATGAGTTTTCTACCCAAATACTTTGCCTTTAAAAATGCCACTCTTGACTCTCTGACTTACCCCCCTCTAAGCTGCCTGTCCCTGCTAATTTGTTCCAACAAACTGGACAGGACACTGGACACAACACTGGACTCTTTGGATGCATAGTTTACCAACTCTGGGATGAAATATTTGGCTTCTTTCATCAGATACAAATTAATGGTACTTTGAAACATTGCATAGAAATTCTGTGAACTGTTTTGATTTTTGGTTTTGGTCTTGCTCAATATGGCACCAAGAATCTGGGCTGGCTGCAAGAGGGAAATGAAAACTACAAATATCACGTAAAAGGTGTGTGGTCAAATGGAAAATATATATCGATAGTTACTTTATTTTAGTCAATAACAACATATTCTGATTTTATATAGAATATAATTCAAACTTGAAAAGAACTTAAAGTTAATATCCTGATTTGTACATAAATTCATCATGAAACTGGGTCAACGTATCATCCATGTATATTCTAACCTTATCTGTCATGCTACAAGCAAGCTCCAACAGCTTCCTGGACAGCTCCAGTGTGGAAGGGCTACATTCCAGCAACCTGAACTGATCCTCTTCTGAAACTGCCTGTCATTGAATAATTAATACACGAGCATTTAAATTTAGATCCACTTGCACATGCAGCCATTTGCATATTTCTGCCCATTCAAGTATAAATAATATTTTCTCTTGAAAACTTTCATCATAAATTATGATTGAGAATAATCATTTAAACCAATAAAGGAACACACATTACCTGAAACAAAGTCTGTAATAAATTGTTTGAAACATTTTCTGCTGAATGTCCTCCATCTTTAAGAGCTGGCAGAAGAAAATCTGTCTTGTGCAACAGCTGATATCCTGCCACCAGGTGGCTATCTGTCATGTGGTCTTCACTTGGACCAGACAGTATGTGTGGCAATTTCTTCAGAAGGTTGTAAGAGCTGGACAAATGGATAATTACAATTATTTGATATGTTCTGGATCTGTATTTGTTACTACTGTAAAAAAAAAACACATTTACCAAGACTAATGACAACAAGAGACCTACTAGTGCAATCAACTACATTAGAGCTGATGATGAGAATTTGGTTTACTCACCCCGAGTCTAATTTAGACTTCAAAGTCCTCCTAAACATGTCTAATGCCTTGGGAGGAAGGTAGCGGCTGAATATTCTCAGAACCTGTTCCATCTTCAATAAATATAGATATTTTTAGATTTAATATACAAGAAGTAAATAATTTTTCTTAAGTGTAAATCTACTACAAATGAGAGGCCCAGAACCAGTTCAAATTAAATTAAGTTTTAAAATTTATAGTATTAAGTCACTGCAAGAGTAAATGAAAATTAAAAACTCATGAAATTTGTTGGCATAATGAAAAAAGAGAAGACATTTTTATGGAAATGCTTCATCTTATGACAACAATTTTTTTTCATTTTGTATATGCTAACTTTTTCTCATACAAATAATTAAAAAGTTATTGACAAGTCTAACAATGATACAGTTAATCTACAAGCTATAAGAGCTATGAATGTGACTGACCTGTTCTGGCAATTTCATCATCACCTCCACATCCCCCATGTTGAACCCCAGAGCACTTGGATTCAATACACAGTCACAGATCAATATCCAAAGGTCTGGGCACCATATGTTACTGGGAACCACCTGTGAGAAAAGAACCACACTATTTAATTCAACATTTCATTTCAACAATTTTAAAGATCACATTGAAAATAAACAGGCAGGTCAACCTACAAATATGGATTATGCCCACTTCCAAAAATACAAGGGATGAGAAAAGCAGGGAACAATAATTGTTAAATTCATGACAATCTATTTCATAGTCAGTGAGGAGTTAATATTATATACATATAACCTTAAGATTTCTAAATCCATTTAAAGATATTTCTTATTCCTGTAGATAGGGTAAAAGGTTAAAAAATAGCTTTGATTGCCTATTTCACAAACCTGTTCCAAATGACTCCCAGATTTTGAGATGGTGCTACACAGGAAATCCAACAAATGGACTATCACTGTACATTTAGACCTGAAATGAATATCATAAAATCAAGTGTCTGTGATAAATGTATGATATTTTCAACAAATCACAGTGAATGAGTGAAGTAGAGATCCCTCAATGCAATACAAAAACCCACCAAAAAAATACAAAACAAGATATTTTACAGAACTATTTGAAAAAGCACTTTCCTGAAGAGAACATTGCAAATGAGAGAAGGGAGGTAGTTGCCAGAGACAAAGTCTACATGTTTTGTTCATGTACAAAATTTTAAAAAATTCTAGGTATTTTTAAATACTTAAACATTTTTTGTCATCTTTATGGGATCAGTTCAGTTACTGTACCTATTGTACTCCTCTACTTCCCATGGTGTAAAAATTTTTCTGTCCAATCCTTTGGTAAACAAGTCTGCAGCCGCCTCTATGTCCTTCAAGGCCAGACTGGAGAGGAAATGACTTAGCACAAGGTAAATACAGGACGAATGCCCACCTGTAGAAAGCCAATGACAACATATTCTACTCAATTTGAATAATATGTAAATGTTGGTTATGATAAATTTATACAATTAGTTACTGCGAAATCATGCTGATAATGTGTATTTACACAAGGTAATATGTACATTTTTGTGTCAAGGTAATATGTACATTTTTGTGTCAAGGTAATATGTACATTTTTGTGTCAAGGTAATATGTACATTTTTGAGTCATGGTGAAATGTTTCTAATAAGCACACTATAACAACAATTACTGACTAAATTGATGATTAAACTTGTAAAAGAAAATGAACCAGGACAGGAACAATAGGATATACTATTGCAGTGAATAGCATAGCCATGTAATGACCATGCACACAAAATAGCGGCAACCTACCTGTGAAAACATCTTCTGGTCTCAGTAGGTTAGTATCAAAGGTCCATTTGTAGCATTCCAGGGCAGCCAGCACCATGTCATACCAGAGAACTGCATTCTTCACTGTAAACTGCTCCCCTATATCTCCCAGTGTATGGCACATCTTCAGGGTAAACCTGGTCCCTCCTAATCTGTAAGCTTCAAACCTGAAATAATATATTATTCAAAACGAATAGTACATAGTTTGTTAAGTAAGTGTATCATCTACTAGGATATAACATTACAAGTCTTTAGTATAAAGCATATATATAAATCAAATCTATCTAAAATTACTGGGTTGCTTCACAATAAGGTATTTGAAATACTTTAGGTTTTGTATAGGAGTCGCTGTGAAATCTTTTAATCTGTGAAGTCAGATTCACAATTTTGGGATTAAGTCACAACAGTTATGAACAACAAAGATCAGCTCACTCCACTAGATGTCAGATGGTAAGGAGATTCTATACAATACAATTCTACCTCTCCATAAAGTACTGGGGTCCACCACTTTCCATTTTCAAAAACTTTTGGAAAAAACCTTGGACGCTCTGAAATTCTGAAAAAGATCATTTAAATATTTTTTAAAATATTATTTTGATTTTACAAATTTTCAGGTTATTTGGATTCAACATAAACAATCCTAAATTTTAAACACCACAATACAAATGAAATAAATACTTGCCTACAAATTCATATTTCTACAACAAAATGTCAGGGTGCCACCTGAACCATTACTTTAAGACCAAAAGTTGATCCTAAATTAAAAGCAAAAAAAATTCAAATTGCCTTCTTTGATGTAAAATGAATCAGCAGTTGCAGTAATCCACTAAAATAAAAAAAAACAACAAAAATTTAAACCAACAAATATTTCATTTCAGTTGACTAGCTACAGAGTTTATCCTCAATTTTTGGTCATAAAATAAGACCGACTTTTGATCTCAATTTCTTTAAAAAATCAAAACCCTAGTCCATTATGCCATATAAGTGACATCTCCTAGTTTGTCAGTCTTTCATTAATATTACCTGGGACACAGGGAGCCAGCTTGTACACCAGCATCATAGAAGAGTGCCTGCATTCTGTTTGTGGTCGTCCACATTGCCTCAGCAACCAGCGCACACAAATATCTAAAGTAGCTTTGTTCCAGGTTCTAAAAAAAATCATCAAATACAGAAGGACAGAATCAAATTCTACTTCAAATTCTACTCATTTGAAATCTATAGCCAAAATCCAAAATGACAAATTAAAAATTTCATTAGATTCAAAATAGCACTTTTATTGAGAAGATTATATACATACTTGGGTTTTCTCCTGATTTTACTGTCTTTGCAGAGTAGAGCTGCTTTGTTCACTATGATTCTTTCAAGGTGGTTCAACACTTGGACACCCTGTTCTTGTGTTCCTAAAGACTTGTCGTCATGGTGTGCCATGGCCAAACTCTCAATGAAAGTCTCTAGGATTTCAAAGGTGAAGATGTCAAGAAGCACCTCATCTTCTCTAAAAGAGAAAGGATAATATGTTGAATCAAATATATTAATGACATATCAAACATATAACAAATGCATATTGACTAACTGCCAAGAATGAGAATATTTTTAATAGGTATGATATAAGTATAATTTTTTGCTTAATGGAAGTTTTATCTTAACAAGACAATGGATAAAAGTATGTTTTCCTCCAAAATACTACTTTTGTATATAACCACTTTTGACCTGAAAAACTACTATTAGGACAGAAAAACTGAGTGCAGAAAGAAATTTTACAAATTTCTTTAACATTGACCGAATGTAAATGGTCCAATTCTCAATTAATTCAAAAGTATTGAGCATACATGGTATCTTTCATGAAGGTGTCTCACCTGAACACTCTGTAGATGTGGTTGAAGGCCAATGCTGCCCCAAGTCTCCTGAATGGACTAGGGTGCAGAGCAAAACTGTAGATACGCTTGAAGATAGACTTAGGAATGTGAGGGTTTTTACGCAGTTGCTGAAAAAAAAAAAGAAAAATTATTCTAATAGCGTGAACTTGGGAATATCAGGTTTTTTTACTCAGTTACTAAAAAGAAAAAAAATCAAATAATCTTTCTTGCACTATAAAGTCCATGTTAAAGTGGCACACATTAATCTTTCATATTAACAAAATTATCTTCATGCTTTTATTGAACATAACATACAACACTATCTTGACATGCAGAGACTTGACATAATTTCTCAATTTTTTCCTTTCTGTGATGGAATAGCATTTTATAATCAATGGACTGAATCTTTTTACAAATTCAATATAATGAAGTAATCTTTCCCTCTTTTCTTAAATGTCATTTTAGTATTTTGAAAACTTACAGCAGGTGATGTTTGTTTCAATGCCCATTTGAGGAATTCTTCAATACATCTGGCACAGAAATCTCTCAGAGATGCATTGCTGGGATCAATAAGCCCCTCCTGAAAACAGAAATGGATTTCAAAAAGGTATAGTTTCCCCAATCAACACATGTAATCTCATTCCCGTAAAGTGTTTTGACAGACATCATGAGAAAATATTGGAAAACAATAACTCTGATTTCAGCTGATTATTGATAAGTGTGATAAGCAAAGCTCCTAAAATTATCAATTAATAGCAAAATTTATGTAGAATTTGATGGTTCATTACCATCTTGAAAAACATTTCAATGGAATGATATTTTATGCACAGTTTGTAAAACGTTAGAAAGTTCCCAGCCCTGGAAGCCTTCCAGATGCTAGTATTTAATGCACACTAAAATCAGGGCATTCAACACCGCACCTGGGTCACATTTCATGTTCACTTTTAGAGCAAGGAAAGCAGAAATGTTTAGTTATTAGGAGCACATATCAGTTAAACTGTACTTGGAGTCTTCTTATATACAAAGATAAAATGTCAGGACTTAACTATTTACTCAAAACAAATTAATACTAGATTTAGCCTTATTACTGTGCTCCTGGTTAGGGATTCTGCCCCCCTTGCTTTAAAGCAGTTTTCATTTCATTTAAAATTAGTTTTTCATTTATGAGTTGTTCACTTACCATGACAGCATTAAGCAAAGCTGCTGTTTCTGGATTTTCAAAGACTTTGCTTCTTGTAAACCAGTGAATGAGTTGCATGGTGAGTGGTTCAAACAGCTGCCTAGCAACCTGCAAGTCGACAACGAGTGATATACTGAGATTCATCTTATATGCCTCAATTATCAACAGTTTACAGAAATCAAGTATAAAGGAAAACTATCCCCAACATATTAAGAAAACACAAATCAGCAATGGCATTCTTTTCAACAGAATGAACATTCATTTTTTTCTCACCAGTTCCACATCACAAGCTAGTTGCAGCATAGCAGGAAAGACATTCCTATACAGTCCATCTAGAGGATGACGGCCTTGCTGACCCTCTGGTTGCTGGACACTGCGACCAAGCATGTACAACACCATCGAGTGGAACAGCTCACAGGCGGCTACTTTGGTCTGGCGGTCACTGGACAGAGTGGCCAGCTCAACCACCCGTGGCAAAAAGGGATCTGCAATGATATATAGAGGTTTAAACTAACAGAGCAATATATCACAAAATGACTATTTCAAACTGACTATTTCATATCTATTTTACAGTTTGTTGAAAAAAGGTTTTGTCACAAAAACCTGCAAAAGAGAAACATCAGAGAGTTATATAAAGTGGTTGATTTTGATACAAGAACGTACCTAGGTACAATGCTGCTTTTACATCCATGAATGGCATATCAAATTTGAGGTGTTTCTCTTGGTCCCAGGCTACAGCTATTTTGGCAATGTCCTCAGATGTACACTGAACCATGGCAGCATTGGTGGCACCACCTAAGTTCCCTAGAAACTTCACTATTCTCTGCTTCAGCAATTCTAACTGGGAACTTTCTTCCTGAAATATCATGGTTATGTCTTATATGATTCCTTCTAAGCAATTAATTCATACAGAACCCTCAATCTCCATGAAACATAACAGCAAAATGCTGTCTTTTTTATAAACAATTAAGCAATATATTATCTGTTTATATACTAAACCTGCTCATTTCTGAAGTATGTTAGCACAACCCATACATTGATTTTAATTTAAGATTATGGAATATAAAGAAGACAAATACTAAGTATTGCCAATGTTATGATGACAATCATAAAATATTTCTAAGACAACTCATTTTTGTGAATATTCTGCACATAATTATAAAAAAAGTTTGCTGGCCAATACTTCTTTCTTCAACAGCCTGACAATGATGTTAGAAATCAAGATATATATCATGAAAAAATCTGACTAACAATAAAACCACCTATTAACAAAAACAAAACAGAAAATGCATGTTCTTCGAAGTCAATTTTTAATGCAGGGAATGTGAAAATGAACCTGCTACCTTTGCAACTGCTGGCTTCAATAACTTTATAGGCAAGCCTTTCTTTCTGCTATAGCTATGGCCCTTTGGTTCCATGATTAGTGTTGAGGGGGAATTCGTTTCATTTCCAGCTGAAATGTAAAAATACATAGATAAAAATCATATAATAAAAATAATATCCAAAGATTTCTTAAATCTCACATTGATATGCTGTTCAATACACAGACTTATTTGTTACAACACACATACACACACACCTTGTTCAGACTGTAACTTGAGAAAGTCATCCAGACAGGGCAGGATGTCCTGGTAATGTGGCTGCAACAGGTGGTTAGGGATGCTGTCCCTCCAGAACTCAATGGCCTCCATCCCTTCTACAGCAAGAGGCTGGTAACTGAGCCCCAGCTTGAAGGTGATCTAAAGAGCATGGCAGAGGCAGCGAGTGAAAAAACTGCATGGGTACCAAAAAATAATACTAATATAACATATATAAACAAAAAATAATACTAATATAAAGTCAACAAAAAGCTTATTTCATTATCCTATTCACAGCAGTCAAAAGGTGGTTGGAAAAAACTGTCAAGATGGTGAAAAGGTCACACTTAATCTGACAAAGACAGCAACAATTTTTTTTTTTGCAATTTAGAAATGAGTAAAATTTAAAATGAGACTTGTCACTATAAATAAAACACCTGGGTTTTTACCTTCAGTGCTGGTACAATGGTGGGAAGATCTGCTATTACCAGCTCTGGAGGCAGGGCCAGAATGAAAGACAAACAGGAGGCCAGCAGGTCATCCTTGTACTGCTTTATTCTCACTAGAACCTGCAAATTGTAGCAGTTTGATGTATTAAAATTAAAATATATTTCACCTTTTTGTACCTGATAAAAAACCTGGTAGTTATTTCATTGGAAAACAATGTGAATTAAAATAGAGAATATATCACAAATGAAATTAGTGAAATATATTACAATTAAATCTACAATTTTTAACACAAATTGATTATTCATAAACAGATGGAAAATATGTAGCAAAATAGTGAATACAACCAACTGACATGTAACATGAATAACCTCTTTAGTAAATTTTGAAAAAAGCAAAAAAGCTGTCTCTCTATCAGTCCCTATTTTTTCTTCTACAATCATAGAGTTCTCTCCTCCATCTTGATCCCTGCTCAGGCTGATGTCCTGTCAAAGAAAAATACTGGAGAATACTAACGTAAATATAACATGCTTCCCAAATAAATTAATATTAAAACATAAACTTTTAAAAATATAAAGAGAGCTATAATTTATTTTTCAGAGTATACAGAATAAAGGATCATTTTTAAACAAAAGGATCTTAAGAGAGAGGAATGCAGCGCTTCTCCATATATGTACCACCAGCCAAAATGGCAAACAAGTATAGAAATCTCGTTATGACTACGAGCCTGCTGGTAGGCAACACTATGACATTATTTGTAAAGTAAAACATCTGGTTTTCCATTTCATAATTGGACCTGAATAAATCTGATGTGCTGAAAAGATATTTACCTTAAAGTATGCCGTTTTTCGAGTAGCATGCATACAAATAGCCAGCAACTTGTAGAAGCCACTGACGAGAGGATACCTAAGAAAGTTTATCATCATACAAGTAGGAATCTGGTATGTGAGATGAACATTTTTGAAATATGTTTTCTATTCAAATAAACATTTCAGTCATTTAAATGACAACCAAAATGCAGTGCAATTTTATCCAAAATATTGAACAAGATGGACAGTACTTATGTACACAGAATAGTAAAAATATCTTAGCCATTAAAAATCATGAAAAGGACACAAGAAAACCCCTTACTGTCATGACATTCAACTTTCTTTCGTGCAAATTCAGAATAAGATAAAAAGTTCAGTGTTACTGAGGCTATCTAATTTAAAGGTAATTAAATTTCAGGAGAAACACAGATATAAACAAGTACTAACTTCGTTGACATCACAATGAGTTGATGTCCAAAAGTGAAAACCCATCTTTTAAACAAGGCACAGTACTGGTCTGTGTGGAGGTCTCTGAAATGTTTAACACAGATATATACCTAGTTTGTATACACATAAATTTCCATGATTCTATTTCTGAGTTAACAACATCACAAGCAAAAATATTACATCATTGCTCACACCACCCACTAAGTGAACCAGCACTGGTAGCAAAAACCCAATGAATAGGGCAAAACATCCATCTTTATAACAACACTGTATATTCAGCAGTAGAATAACAAAAATTTGAACAATCTACATTAACATATGTTCAACAAAGAAATTTCAGCTACTGATAACTGAAAATATGTTGGCTACATTTAAAATACACTTAACCAACAATATTGGACTGGTCCAATGTTAGCAATAAAAGGATATTTGTTAAAAAGGTGCACCAAAGTAAAGTAAAAGTAAATTTAAAGTAAAAGTTATTCTTGATAAGAATGACTTTTATGGTTACCAAAAGTCATTATTTTGGCTTTCACATTGATACTGTAATAACTTTTTAAAATGCAAATTCATTCAAATTATAATTATATCTTTTAGAGATGTTATAATAAACTAAATCAAGATTCAACTTATGACATGAAGTGGCTGTGGTGTTTAAATAACTAAAAAGATTTCAATCTTACCTGCTAAAATCAACTAGATTGATAAAGACTTGAAAATCTTTGGGTTTTGAAGCCTGAAGGCCAGATACAGGGTCAGAAGAAGCTAAAAATGGTGTTACTGGACGACCTTTATCAGCAGTGCCAGCACTGTCACCCTGAAAAGTGTTCAATCTAGAGCTAAAAACATGCATGTAATTTACCTTAAACTCAACAAATGAATGGATGAGCAATACTTGAACCAAAAGATTTCTATCATCTTTAGAATACTTTAAAACCATTAACCTGTTGAACTTCTCACAAAAATATCCTTCAAATATGTTTTATCAGTTCTTTTCATTGAGAATAGGTTGAGCCAAATATATTTTTTATTAATTGCTTTTTCATTTTCTGTACAAATATTGCTTCATGGATAGTTATTCAATGACCTTAAAAGGAAGTTAATTGTCTCTGAGACATAACAACTACATGTAATAAGAAAAATTCAAGACAACAAAATAAACTACAATCAATCCCTTTAAAATTCCATTCTAATATATGAAAAGATTTCTTTAATTGGTTTTCCAACCGCAACTAAAATTCTATGTCTGATTCTGGAACTGTCAGTTACCAATTTGGTGCCATTAAGAAAAAGTGATTTTATGAAAAATCCTTCTGCATACAAGACTTATCAAATAATTTATTAAGGGGATATCATAGAAAAGCAAATGTTTGCTACCTGGTCTGTATCCTCACTCCCCCTGACTGAAGTCAGATCCAATTTGCTTAGAATCTTCAATGTAGATCTGACCAGTTCATCATAGATTGCCTGAGTCAAGGCAGATTTCTCGTCAGGGGTAAGTTTTGAGTGAACCTACAATATACAAAAAGACATTTTATTTCAAGCATGGCAGTGTGCTCCTTCAGAAGTATTTAGAACTATGGATCTACATTTTCATAAGCAGAAAATGTAACAAAACCAAGAGTTACCAAATTGAATAGGAAACATTTTTCATTTTTTAACACAATGGGGCAAAAGTAAAACATGCTGTGATGCTGTAAGGCACAAAAGATTAAAGTCCCCCCCCCCCCCACACACACACACAATAATAAATAATAACACACTTTTAAATGTGAACTCCCTAACAGCATATTCCAAAAATCAAGATGGTCCTTGTAGGTTATCTTTTTTTCTGATTCCATCTGCATCTCCATGTCCACTTCTGCCTCTACTTCACCCAAATCTGTGGCCACTGGGTGCGAACATGTCCTAATTAATCCTTGATAAACTGAAATTAATGAATTAATGAATTTATTCAGTTATTTATTTAAGGAAATATATGCAGAATGAAAGGGGAATTTGTAAGTTGCTACTAGATCACTCTCACAATGAGTTAATTAATAAGCTTAATCAAAATCAAAACAAGCACATACACTAACATGGATACTCATAATTTGTAGATACGCTTAACGTTTATGTTACTCTAATATTTGTCTTACTTTATGTTTTCAAACATATTGTTCATAATCATTATTTCTGCGGTGCATTTGCTTACAATAAAATTATTATTATTCTTATTATTCATAACAGAATTTGCTTCTTTTAGAATGCATTTGATAAAGTTTGAAGAGCAAACAAATATATCAAAACACAAACTAATACTACAGCACGACTCTTCACAGATCATTTGCAATACGCCAAAGAAATGACAACAAAAGTCTTAAAATGTCTTCAAACCCACCTACTCTTCCAAGAAATATTCTCAGAGTTGGTCCTTTAGAAATGAGTGCATGGAAGATTCCAAGAATGGACTGGACAGCATCAAGTTTCCTCTTTTTGTATAAACTAGGAAAATGTTCTGTCAGACATACAACCAGTTTCTCCAAAGAAACAAGGAAAGTATCCGAAACCTAAATGCACAAAGAAAAATGACACATTTCATATGTATTATTTCTATATCATATATTTCTCATCCCACTGTAAAATATTACAGAGACAAAAAAGATGAGAGGACAACAACAACAACATTTTAATATTAATATTAAAATATTCAAAAACTACTGATTAAAATTAACTATCAATTAATATTAAAAATAAAATATTCAAAACTATTGATTAAAATGGTTCTGAAAGATGAGGGTGCTTTCTTTATCTTTTCTGAAGCATATAACTGAAACTAACCTCCTCCATTTGTTCAACAATTCTGGCCAAGGACTCTATGAAACTGGGAAGATTGTACACATTGTCCACTTTCAATTCATTTTTGCTGTAAAACAAATATCAAAATACTGAGCTGAAGCCATAAGCTCTTAAAAACACATAAAGGCATACAGTGCACATTCATACAGCAAAAATACAATTGATATTCCTAGAAATGCTAACTTTTGTAACCAAGGTACATAATATTTATAACTGTTAAGAAAAGTACAATCTATGAAGCTCTTTTTGAGTTCTAAATTTTAAAAAAAATGCCATCATGAATGAAATTCATCAGTCCCTATTTCCATTACAAGAGAGATATATAAATGTCTTATGCACACCAATTGTATGTTTTTATTTTTTGCATAGCAAAAACAAACATGTCTGTAGATTTTAAAACACTGGTTAATCTCATAAACAAGATTGCAGGGAGATATACGCAGAAGAAAAGAATGAGATATAAACCAAAGACACCACCATTTTTACAGGGGATAAAAATAAGTGTCTTGTTTATTTACCTGAAAAATATTTGCTCACTTCTCTGCATCATCTCATTGAACATGTACTTCACATCTTCTGCTGTCATGTGAAACTTACAGGGCTAAAATTTAAACAATCTTTATCTATACTGAAAAACATACATTCATTATGTCCAGATTCTTACTTTCTGATATCCTCTTGATCACAGACTAAAGCACATTTTATGCTGGTAGTAGATACAACTTCATTTACAAAACAAAGGCCCATTGAATTTAACTGAAATCTAAATTTTGTGTTATTTAAAGGAGGGGTCCTCTTCTAGTCATCAAAAAAAAAAAGTCAGCAGTCACGTGAGACACTAGTGATCAATTATAGGTCTCAGGATGAGAAGCCAGCTTTGTACTACATTGTAACGAAACACCATATGTCAACCACTACATTCTGTGAATCGAGTAGAAAGATTTGATTCTTACTGCTGCAAATGCTCCATATCCTTTGACAGCTGAGGCAATCTCATTTTGCTTAGCATGGGGGTTGTCCAGTGTTTCTCTAAACTGACGGATGAAAAACTGAAAAGAAACAATGGGCACAATACAATCCAGACACTAGCAATCAAGTTATTTTGAACTCCTGTAAATTTAAGAAAGTTTTCAAAACTTAGATACAATCCATTACAAATAAATATATGCAAGTGCTATATACTGCAATGCTGTAAGAATTAAGGTATAACACCTGCAGTGACCTTCAACATCAAAATGGCATTGGTTGAATTGTAAAATTTAGGAAGAAAAATGTGAACATACTGCAAATGCAGCTCTATCTGGATGTCCTTCCTCTGCTTTGGTTGCAAGCATCTCAGCCATCTGAAACAGAACCGTTATTCTGTAACATAATTTCTGTAGTAGTCTCTCTCTCTCTCTCCTGAAAATGACTGTCTATACAGCCCATTATAATCTTAAAAAATCAATTCTTATGAAAATACAATGTAAACAGGAAACTTTGAGCCCACTTTCTGTGTGGATTTGTCATATTATTAATTCACTTTCTACAGTTTCTAAGATTATTAGTTTAATGTTTGTGAAGGTTGTCATGCTCCAAGATCGTTTCTTCTCTGCTGATGATATAAACACGATACTACCTGTTTAAAGAATGCCTCCAAAGCCTCCATACCCAGGGAAGATACATCTTTGTTGTTGTGTTGGCTCCAAGCTAGCAGAACAGAATACAGCCTCTAAATAAACAAAAAGAAAACAAATCGCATATAGATGCAGAATATACCCAATTACTGGCATATGAAATATCTGTTTCTAAACTTAAATAGAATTCCACAAGACTTAACCTTTAGAAGGATTATGCAATATTTTAACATGGATGATAGTTGTGGTTAAGTGTCATTCTCTAGAATTTCTATATTAAAATTCATTTTTATCTAATTCATACCTCATGATTTTCATAAATAAACTGGCTGAACTGAGATGCATGCCTCTTTAGAAGAGTGAGGGCTGCCCTCGTCAAATCATATCTAGCTGTTTCTTCCAGATTGAGAGCCATACGAGTACATTTAAAGATATCATAGGAATGTTTTCCTGAAAAAAATCAATAATCATCTTATTAACTTAATGGTAATATATAACAACTGAATGAGACAAAAATGTTTAAATTTATAGACTTTCACAATTCAATATGTGATTTTAGATATTTAATTAGGCAGTTATGCTAAATACCTTCTTCTGCAGACTGTGTGAAATTGGTCAAAATGCTGGACAATGCCTCCAAGCAACCTGTCATCACTGGGATCTCAGGCTTGCCTGTCTTTTTGTTCATCTAAAAAAACATACTCGGTATTACATACATTGTACCCAATCATGTGATGAACAAGTTTTAATTATAGGGAATGAAAAGCCAGACATATGGATATACATTCCTGATTAATATTCATTTTCCAATTTATTTCAGTCCCTACTGCATATTTCAAAGTTACTGTGCATGCTTAAGTATTTTGAAAAATTTTTAAATTGAACTTTCTAATTTAAGATCAAAATTGCAACTTCAGCCAGAAAATTACTTACTACTTACCAAATTCATCTATTCTAAAAAAACTTTAGACATAAATATGTGTATCAAGTCCAAGTTTGGAAATGGGGGTAAATGGTCAGTATGTTTAGTCATATCAAGAGACAATAAAACAGTGCACAGCTACTAGTACTTGCCTCTGCCTGTAAAGTCCGGACACAGAGATCAGTAAGCCGCTCAGCATAATTCACCATGCCTTCAGGGTAGACTTCAGCAAATATCCCAAGCAATTTATACAGTTCACGTTTCACTGAAAAATGAAAACTATCATGAACAAATTGAATGAATCATACATAAATCCTTGAATTTGGGGAAATTAATCCCCAGGAAGAAAATAAATAACTAACTGTAACTGGATTGTTTGGAAAATCTGTCATTGTAGCATCACTGAAGTATGTGTTGCAATATATCTCTGAGTTTAGCATTGAAAATTTTAGAAAATAGCTTAGCAGACCTATTTGGCTGTAAAAATATCTGAAATACCTTATCTTCAAACAAATTTATGACTGGCAGTGTTCAAGTTTGTTGAAATAGGTTAAATCATCTAGTTATGCAGCTAAAATAAATTTAATCCCAGAGTGAGTGCATGCTTACCTGATGCCTGGTGTTTTGTTTTTCTGGACAATTCCATAAAGAAAAGCTCTATCATTTCCCTCATATTCAATTCTTCACTCATTTGGGAGCCCTCTGTCAGTTCTAGCAACTAATAAAAACATTCTACATAACAATTTTGACATTAAACAAGCAAAAAATAGTAAATCTGGTATTCATTAAGTCATTTAACAAAATCAGGAGTGGATAAAACAAAATTCAACAACCAATGGTCAATATCAAGCTAAATACATCACTCTAAATTAACAAAAATATATTCTCATCACAAGTCAAATTTACTTAAGAAACTATTCATCACTACAACACATAGGTAGTAAAAACCTCCAAGATATATGTTTATTAGCACATTGCTTTCATGCCATACTAACTTTGATCAATACAGGAATGACAACTTTCTTGACTGCAGCTTTTTCCTCACGAATAAAGAGGGTTATGCATACATCCTAAAAACAATTTGAAAAGAATTTTAAAATGGGTGTTGATGAAGAAGTACATGAAACTGCATGATGCATTTTTCACTTTTTTCTTTAATACTAACCTTTTTATCTTATTTCTACTTATTACTTGAATAATTTTTTCCAAGTGTTTTGGGGAACTTTATATAATTCTGTTTTCAAGTATTGAAACTACTGAGAAATGAAAACTAGTAGTGAATCAAATACCTTGATGTCTACAGCATAAGGCAGAACCTTTTTCTCAGCTCTCTCCATAAACAAACACAAGGTTTCAAGAATTGCTGTCTTTGTACTGTCATACTGGAAATTGAAAGTAATTGAAACTGAATTTTAGATATTTTTATATAATAAGCACAGATTATGATCTTATATATCTGAGAATTAGAGGTCTGATATAAAATTATTTTGACCGTCGGATCGATGACATCATCTTCAAACATACTTTGATACTGACCAAGCATGCAATAGACTTAAACTTTTGGTCCATATATACCATTTTGCAGACCTGAGAAAGGTGATATCTATCTCGACTGCACCTCGGTCAATGCCATTCTGACCTTAGGTAAAGTCAATAATTATACCACTTTTCATAAGTACAGTACTTCTTCAACAGTATTTGTTCTGGATTTCAGCCAAAATATACTCATTGGGCCACATCTTTACACCATTATGTGTAACTGGTTCTTTGTAAGTTTGTGACAGACTTCAACATGGTACTGTACCTCAGCCTGCTTCACAACTTTCTTCACAAATGAAACTAGGCCTGTATCCTTGTTGAACAAAAGTGACGAGCAGTAATCTGTAAGAAAAGCCAAAAGTAAAATAAATTAATGAAAAAAATCATGTTAAATAAAAGAGTTCGGCTCTTCTTTAAATACCATTTTATTTTACAACAGGGGGGTTTGAGACCTTAAAGGTACAATGTAGGAGATGGAATTGATCACTGGGAAAGAGGATCTGAGTGTGAGTGTGTATTCACTGAAAAGATGGGGAGGAATATAGTTTATTCACTGGGAAAGATGGAGAGGATCTGGAGTGTATATTCACTGGGAAAGATATAGAGCTAGTATCTTGGATGCATATTTACTGGGAAAAATGGAGAGGATGTAGAGTGTACATTCACTGGGAAAGATGGAGAGGGTCTGGGGTGTATATTCATTGAGAAATATGGAGAGGATCTGGGGTGTATTGACTGCCACTGGGGTTATTCACTGTGAGAAAAAATTAGGAGGATCTGTTTCCACCCACACTGATCTGATGCACTGTGCACCCCACGTAACATTCCGCCAATTTTTAGGTGTACTGGTACAAATGAAAGCATGGGAATATTTTCATGATGATCGAAAGTTTAACCTCATGATTTCTTTACTGGCAAAGTATGAAACAGATTTATTACGAATGTCGTATAATCTACACTCAGACTACGTGACTAGTGCAAGTATAGTTTAGCCTCTAATACGTTTACTAGATAAGGAAGTTCGCTCACCTGTCTCTCTGTCCGACGTTTCCTTCAGACACAGGTTTGCTATATCCCTGACCAGGTCGAATGTTTTCCTCCCTCCGCGTGCATCTTCTTCTTCTCCACCGACGCAGGAATGTAGGGTGCAAAGCAAATCTTGCAAATTACCAGCCATTACTTCCTACTGTATTATCTTTCACATGTTTGGTCTGTGGGCACGCACCGGCAGGCGGGTTTGTCGACCGATATGTAAACACAGACTAGAATATCCCGCTAGAGGGCACCTTGATCATATCATACCCAAGCAGTCTGTTCCTTTTTCATGTCTCTCTCACCCAGGGGCTAATTCAAGTTTTAGTATGAAATAAACAAACATATCTAGGTTTCCTCATTTTGTCTATATAAAAGAAAGGAAAAGAAACGGAAGAAAGAAAATAAAGGATAGCAAAGTAAAGAAAAGGGCTTAATTCAATTCTGATCGACTCTACACATGAAACTGTACTGTACATGACTATAGTAGAGATTGGTACTCAGATTGATCAAATACACATCAAAAAGAGACAAGAAAAGAAAAGCTATTGCTAACGGATACTTCACAAAATTGGCCCATATTAACCTCCTCGTGCAATTGTATTCCAGTATATTATCATTATTTTCATTTATTTATTTATTTATTTATTTATTTTTTATCTTTTTTTTTAGCGGGAGAGGTTTCCCGTCCAGCTAACACAAAACGTTTTGATAACGTTACCACAGGGTTTCCTATTATATATTGCTTAGACCATCAGCAAACATAAAACAATTTACAAAACTAGCATGATCACATACTAACTTGTTTAAATACGTTCTCATGTACAATATGCAAGCAGTGGTCGCGCCGATATCAAAGAGGTTCTGATTAGTCGGCAGTCAAGGTCGGCAATCGCTGTTGGGCCGCAAGCTGTTTGAACTCACCTTACAATATTGAGGTTGGGGTAAGTCGCCAACTAGAGTGGTGCGGATTTTCGAACCTTAATTCTGACTGTTGTATATGGTACGTACATACCCGAACTAACCGCCGTGATGAAAAGCTTTCATAAATTAAAATACTGGGGCGGATCCAGGATTATTTGAAGGTGGGGTCCGCGGATGCAAAGCCGACCCCCCCCCCCCCCCCATTTGACGTGGGGTTAGGGGCCCGTAAAAGGGCCCGAAAAAAATGGTGTTTTAGAGGGCGAACGGTGCCATTTGGTACGGTTTAGAACTATGATTTTAGCTGGTCAAAATTCTAATTTAAGAGGCGACCAGAAATCGAAGGGGGGGGGGGGCAGGACCCCATTGACCCTCCTCTAAATCTGCACTATGTATTTATATTCATTACTTTCGGGAATGATTTACCAAAAATGATTTCAAAATACTGTAACGCACTTCATGAAAATAATAAATGATGTGTTTTAAAATTACCTTGATAATTGTTTGGTGTTTATGATGAACTATTGAATTGTTTTAATTGCATTTTAAGGAATACATTCTCATAAACTTGGTCTCAAGGCCAGCTAGCACAGAAGTGAATTAGTCCAGAAGTGGAATGGAGTGAGTACAGTAAATTACCTAAAATAGTACGTCACAGACATCTGATCCTGTCCATATACAGGTTCAGATCTGACGATATGTCCAAATAGAAAAGGTGGGATGAGTCCAGGCTGTCAGAAGAGGTGTAAGGTGGGGCGATTCCATTCCATTAGAGGGGTGTCAAGTGGGGCGATTCTATTCCTATGGAGGGGTGTCAGGTGGGGCGATTCCATTCCTATGGAGGGGTGTCAGGTGGGACAAGTCCATTCCTATGTAGGGGTGTCAGGTGGGGCAAGTCCATTCGGATGGAGGGGTGCAGGTGGGTGAGCCTATTCCAATCGAGGGGTGTCAGGTAGGTTGAGTCTATTTCATTGGAGGGGTGTCAGGTGGGTCAAATCCATTCCATTGCAGCGGGTGTCATTTGGGGCAAGTTCAATTCATTTAAAGGGTTTCAAGTTTAAAGGGATAATAACTCTTTGTTTTTGCCAAAAAATGAATTTTCCTGGAGTAAACAACAATTTCCCCACACTTACCAATGGTTAATGAATCTATTTTTACATTCAAAGTTAGTCCCTGGTTTTTTTTTCTTAACAGTTTGGTTTTTTGTTAAAATCTCTTAAGAGATTATAACAGAGTATAGCCATCAATGGAGGTCATGTGGTCTGAAGACAAGCTCAGATATCAGAATAATAGCTATAACTGCCGTTTTGTGGTAAAACAGAATATGTTATATTTCTACGAGTTGCTCACAATGTTTTTATTGTGAAATAGAGATCTCATATGAAGAGTTATTATCCCTTTAACTATTCCACATAAAATATGAAAATCAACATTATTTACTGCACATTTAGAAATTTATGAAATTCCAAATTGGTCACAAAAATACTTGAAGGGACCCGAAATATAATTGAAATATTATTTCTTATTATCTCGTTTTGGTTCAGAGACTAAATTCAATCTATAAATGTGGGTTGTTGGAAACGGTTTTCTTTTAGTGTGTAAAACAGTTTAAATGTTCAAATTAAGTCATTTACAAAATACTGGGCATATTGTTAAACATTTACAACTAGTTCATTTTAGATATCTGTAGGTACCACAGAAAAATGTCAATCCCCAAAACGTTAATGAAAACAAAATTTACAGATCAGATTTAGCTGATTCAATACGAAAGTCCTCAAATACGAAATAGTGTTTCTCATTACCCATGCCATTACTTCTATCTTTATCATCAAAATTTCATTTAAAAAATTAAAAAGGACGAATAACAAAATATTTATTTCATATAATAAATGTACGAAGGAACGTATAATGAATTTTTTCTCTTTTAATTATATTATATATATTTTTTCATTTCCCTTATCATTATTTTTGTCATTTGGCTTTAAAGCAAGAATTACTGTAAGGTAAGAGAGATATTAAACAATAAAAAATATACTGAGCTCACAGTATTTTTATTCACATATCAGCAAAAACAGAAAATATTCAGAGCCTATAATTACTTATATATATTTAGCAAGTAACTTATAAGATTTTTATGAAAGCAAAAAAAAAAAAAAATATATATATATATATATATATATATCCATTCAAAGTATAAGAGATGTATATATTACAAAATGTATAAAAAATAAATATATAAATATGAATAATAATTTACACAAAGAAATATGCAAATAAAATTGATGGGATATTTTAACAGCATATTTAGCAGAGTACAGTAAATGTTCAAAATTGTGAAAATTGAAAATTAAGTGAGATAAAATGACTGTATCAAAGGTGTGTGTGTGTGTGTGTGTGTGTGTGTGCGTGCAACAAGTAGAACATGGTAACATAAGTACTGGTACATAAACCATTTAGCATATCTAGGTATACAATAATGTTTATTAAAAATACAGGAATCCGATTATACATAAATGAAATACAAAAGAAAAATTGGATTTCAAATATTTCATCAGAAATACATGGGTAAATCATGATATTTACAAGGTTGTGATCACATGTATACTCGAGAGGTTTGTTCACTATTGCATCTCTCCATATTGATACAGGGAACGGTTAGTTTATCACAGATAATAGTTTTAAAATCTTTAAAGCAATGCAAGATATGGCAGTAGAATTTTCCACTTGTGAAATGATAAGATGAAATGGCACTTCAAATACTTATTTACAAGTTATAATTAAAAATGGGGGGGGAGATACACTGGGCCATGTGCCTCCTCTACTCCTCCTTAGTTTCTGAGTTATCTCTTTTCTCCTCCACCCCCCCCCCCCCAAAAAAAAAATATATATATATTTAACAAGCTAAACAAGACAAAACTAGGTAATCATTTCATTCCTGTGCCCTACCTACAGTAAAATTGTCCTTACCTGTTATCTTATATTTCCAAAACCTCACTCCCTACCACCTGAGCAAAATCCTAGTCCAAAAATATACACTTAGATTAGATGCAAAACATCGACATTTCAATTAACACAGTATACTTGCAAAACATCAAAAGTTCAATCAATACAGTTTACTATCTGATATGTTTTCTTTCACGTGGATGAATTGGTTCCTTCCTTGAAGAGCAGGCTAATCTCTTCCCACAATTGCCTGCAGTAGTTTCTTGTAGTCTCCAGAGCAGTCACTCTTAATCCAGTTCCACAGAGTCTGCCCTGTCAGTGCAAGGAATGCTGCCTTGATCTGAACCATATCAATCTAGAAAAAAAAACATAAAAAATTTTAATACATTTTTTTATATTTTTTAAAGAGACTTGTGCTCTATTGACTAGTAGGTAAAAGAGGCATTAGGTACACTTAACTAAGACCATATGTGTCGTATTGGTTTGTCTCTGAGCTAGAGCAATTCTTTCTGGCAACCTTTGAGATACTTTACTGGAGAAGAGTCTACACCCTTCTCAAGCAGTGCATGGTGATGAACTGGTATATTTTAAACATATACTGCTATTTTGCTCTAAAATATAACCTATGCAAAAATATTTTTCTCATTTATCTATGTCAAGAGAATTTAATTTTATTAAAGCATGACTCCATGCTCTGGACTAGGAGCAATATTATCAATGTAATATTTCTAGTGATGCAACTGTGTCAATTAATGGGCCCAAGAAGCTTTTCTCAATTGCTTTAATTGTCATGTATATTATAAACTGATGCACAATACGAGTGGCATACATGTATATGAATGGTTGCTGTAACTTCCCCAAATTTGACTACTAAGCTCTACTGACTAAAATTGGCAAAACCCACCAAATTTCATTGAGCTTTTAGAAAGTAATTTCAAGAATCATTTTGTTGAGACACCACATAGCTGTAGGTCATCTATGTTTTGATCATAAGTTCAAAAATCCCCCACCCCCCCAAAAAATGCACAAAGGTATATAATGGGACTGCACAAAACAGGCACTGAAAATCTCTACATGTAGGATGATGTAAAAAAAGAACACTAACACACACACACACATTAAAAGTGACAATCTTGCTATCAATATCTGAAAAGTACTGCTTACCTCAGATCTGGATACAATAATTCTTATCAAAGTCTTGTCATCTGTGCCTAGCCCTTTCATAGAAGCTTTCAGTCGCTCAGCAAAGAACATTGGACGACAACGGATGTTCATTACTAAAAAAAAAAAAATCTAGGTGTCAAAGTTGCAAATGTGTCAATGAATTCTTTAAAATTTTAAAAATGCTACCACAGAGAACATTTTGAATGGCTATTGACAGAGACCTTCCCTGTTGAAAAAGTGCCATGAGGATTTGATCAGACATGTCTGATAAAATTTGATGGAAAATCAAATCATGATAAACATTTGTATCAATCTGGATCCCACAGGTGGACTTATTCACTCCTGTGTTAGATGATTTTGAGAGCAAGTTTAATTATTGGAATGTACTACTCACAATGAAGTTAAGACAATTCATTTGTTCATCATAAACACCAAACAACTGAAAAAGGGGCAGTCAAGTTGATCTTTTAGTTTAAAAAATACATATTAGTATTTTCCCAACTAAAATTTGGACAGGGTAATACAAATCACATTAGTTATTTTGACAACCTTATAACATTTTCATGGTTTGAGACAATAATACATCCTTCCTGAACCATAACATACCTATTGCTTTCAGTCCTGCCTTGAAATCACCAGAGGTTTCACGATCTACTGAGTTCAGGATATCTCGCTGGGAAAGCTAATAAGTTATTTAAATACAGATCAATATTAATTTCAAACAGTGTTGTCCATTGTCTCTAAATTTATAAATAATACGTATATAAATAAAAAACAATTACATGCATATATAACCCTAAGTACATATATAATCTTTCTTTGATGTAGAAATATTAATATATTCTACAAAACATTGAAATAATTCTTAACTTTGCGTATGCATTTTACAGCATTAAAAGCCACTGAAACATGCCTTAAATTCTAGTCAAATTGTTGTAATTTAGTTTGGCTATTGAGATAAAAAATAATGCCTGGTTCTGCTGCCTTATTGTTTCAAATTGTTTCAGCTGGCAGGACCAAACACTGCTTTAAATATGATCGAAAAAAAATATAAACTGGAGATGACATAACTCCTCATAGTAGGAAAATAACACTCACTTCATGTGCCCTATGAAGTAATTAATAAATCTCATAAAAAAGAATAATCATGCCAAATTGTTATTATCCCTTAAGAGATTGCAAAACCACATACTGCGACTTTAGCTGACAAAAAAAGATGAAAATAATTAATCATAAAAAATTATTTCAGAATAAGTGATACGTACATTAGAAATGTGTTACCTGTACAATATTATTACCTTGACATATTCATCCCATGTGTGTCTCAGTTCATAATAGTTCCTTACAGAAAAAATCCTGTTGAAAGCTTCTTCATCTGTACCCCATCTGTCCTCTCCAGCCTTATACAAAATTGCAGCATCTCTCTTACACTTATCAACATCCACAAGTTTGGAAAAGTTGATGCGGAACTGTCCAGTGGGTGCATCATCCAATAATATTTCTTCAACAGCATCCTCAGTAATTGTCAACTCATCACGATTTCCCTTCATGAAGAAATGCAAAAGGACTTTTCAAAAAAAAAATAGAATTCAATTCACTTATGATGTAATTGTTAATTATACTTTAATTTAAAGAACGAGTTGGAAAATATCTTACTACTAAATCTTTTGATGAAATAAATGCTTTTTGCTGTACAAACCTGGGCTGCTGAAATCAAAAGTCTCTTGAAGTCTCCACTTGTATCATCAGTGATATCTTTTTCAAGCAAAGAGCCAGTCACCTTTCTGTTGGGGCTAGCAACTGAAAATACATACAGTGTCATGGGTGATCTAAACAGTGCTTTTGAACGGCAATGAAATATGCATTTGTCACTCTCTGCAATCATAATCTTTATATTTAACTATATAACTACATGTATAACTATATTATAGAACTCATTGTTTATTATAATTTTTCTCAAGCTTTATATTTACATATATTGGTGCAAATGAAATATGGCAGTAACATAAAAAGTGTCTTAATTTTTTTCAATATTTTGTCTGTCCAAAACCTCGCATGTTAACCAACCCATAAAATATTTTTAAAAAAACATCAGAATTCATTTGCCAAAAATCTCAACATCTCCAGACTATCCCCCACCCTCCAAAAATGTTTTTATTAAAAAAATACATAAATGTTTATTATCCCATATACTTACCATCAGCATACACTGCCAGTATCTCCTTGATCTGTGGATTGGTTCTGGTCATCAGGATCTCAATAAGTGATGCCTCATCTGTACCCAGTCCCTGATATGACAAAAAAGAGGGGGCTCATTTAAAGGAGTGGTTTATAGGACTTTCATTGCCTTTAATATCTTCCATAATTCATATGGCATCTTTGGTTTACTAAAAAAGTCAATGTTATTAATCCAAGAATCTCCCTCCCATCCCCACCATATACTTGATAAGGGCCCATCAAGGACTAGTACCTGCACTGGTTCCATTTCTCTATTCATGCTAATATGTATTTACTTGTGCCATTCAAAGATTTTTTAGCAGCCTACTTGCCGAATATATACAGGTACTTACATAAATGGCTTCCTTAATGCTCCAAGCGTCATATTCAGCAGGTTTCACAAAACAAGCCATCACAGCCTCCCTGAAGTCACCACTTAATTCAGACTTAATATCCTCAATCAGATCCTAAGTGGAAAAAGGAACTATGAAAAGGTGCCTCAGGGACCATTCCCAGACCCTATCATGCTAACTGTGGATTGATCTCCAAGGGGATTCTTGCTAAATTGCAATCAACTAAAGCGGCTTAAGCTAGATGTCTGTCACACCTACTAGGGGGTAATTATCCTTTAGCAGCTTCAGAAGGTGTGCCAGAAATCTAAGCGGCTTAAGCGAGAAACCCCTTGGAGATGGATTGATCCTGTTAGATTGATCTAGGTATGGGAACCCAGTCTCAGTCTAGTGTTAGAATGCTGCAGGACTCCACTTCCATCAGCATAACATTCGAAAATTAATACCTTTTTTAGAAAATTGTTGGGATAATATCTCATTGGACAAGGGCCTTTACAGCAATATTTCCAAATATCATAGTTAAATGAATAACCAAAATAATGAGTAACTTTCTTTCAACACATAAAATGGTTATGTGTATTAAAGGAATGTATAGGATTGTTCTATATCTTTTTAGCACCTGTGAGTAATTCAGTTTGTATTTCTACTGACAAAAGGATACTAATGTATTCATTTATACATCAAGTTATAAATGTGTATGTAATATACATGAGATTAAGGCAAAATTGTTGAAATTGTCAGGAAAATTTACCCATTTTCTATATGAGGTATAAGGATGGTTGTGTGCCTTTAACTGGTATTAGGATGTTCATGGATATGTACTTACTCTTCCGTACATGGTCTTGTACTTTAGCTTCAACTCCTGTCTTTGGGAGTTGCAACGAGTTGCTACAATATGGATAACAGCATCTTCATTTGTACCTGAAGAGAACACATTATCCTTGTTACTGCTGTTCCAAAAAATAAGAGTTCAACTTTAAGACTTTTAAGCCATTTACTAGTATTGACTAAATATAAAATACACTCGTCTAAAAAATTCTATAATAATTACTGTATTTGAAAAATGTTTAAGTCAAAGTCTTAAACAGCTCGAAACCATAGATATAATAAAGGGTCAATAAAAAAAATATTTTATGGGCAATTTCATGCAATTTGCATTTATTCAAGGCTGCTAGAATTTCATTACTCAAAATGCACAGACAGTTCTATGGTACATGGCATGCCTTAAACTATAAAATGGCACCCTGAAAACAATAGGAATTGATCTTCAAAAAATGCTTTAATTAGATGTGTATAAACCTGGCAATTTTGCTCATTACCTAGTCCCTTTAAGGCCTCTCTCAGGTATGCACAGTCATCCTCAGAACTCCATTTCTTTCCAGACACATCACCATAATCAGAAGATTTGGACCACAGAACAACTGGGTCTTCGTTGTCACTTGGGTAGACCAGCATGGGCTTCACTGTGCCCTCAGTGGGGTCCAGGGTCCCAGACACTGCCAAGCACCGCTGCAATCCCTTTACAAACAGTGCCCTCAATTTCTCAGATAATTCTTTGTTATCAGCCAGCTTCTTACGGACTTCTTCTTGCTGTTTCTTCATCTCTTCAAGTTCCTGCTTCAACCTCTCTTTCTAAAAAATTATGTACTTTCTTTAATATCATTTAGTACATATGTCATGTAAGACAAGAGCTTTGATTTTGTTTTCTGTGTACATACAGTTCTTTTACTGTAAATAACCCATATAAGCAAGAAAAGAAGCAAATTATAAGATATTATTAAATGACTGAAATATACCCAGAGGGAAACTTTCAAACTTAATCAGTTGTAAAAAAGTATCAATATTCAAGACCATGCACAGATGCTTGATTAGTTTGAAATATTTTTTTTTTATGATCAAAAACAGATCATCTGTTACAATGCATTTTTGATACTTTTTCTGAATAAAAAGAGGCAAATTTGACATTTGGGATAAATATAAAAGCATTAGAAATACTATAGTGATCATAATTTTAACTATGATGGGTCCTCTGTGTCTTGTATCAATTATAATTCATCTATGTGCCTCAATAGGTTAATAATTTAAAATCACATTTTTGCATTAATGTTAACTGTAAATGTTTAAACACTGTGGTTACCTCTGCATCTTCATCAACTGGTTCCTCATCTTCATCTTTCCATTTTTTCTGAAAGCATTTGCATTAATACTTCTTATATTTTATTTGGTTATTTTCATATAATAATAATAAAACTTTTTTACAAGGATCAATTAAATTATAATTAAATCTAAAAATTAAAAACTTTAGTAGATAGTTGACTGTAACATATAGACTACTTCATATGAAGGAAAGGTAAACTCTTACAAGTACATTAAAATGAAACAGGCCCACATTCATTTACGTGACCTACTACTGATTATTTTTTGTCAAAATAGACTAAATTCTGGACTCATAGTTAAGCCCAGCTTTTAACCTTTATAAAATTGTCCCCAACAGAAACAAAAAGCATGTTTCATGAAAGAAGTAAATATATTAAACATACTGATTTTTGTTTTCTTCTGACTCTATGCTCATCTTCTTCAATCAAACCAGCCTGAAATAAATTCTCACATCATGCAATGCATATTTATATAAATATACCTGAACGATAAACTATTCAGAATTTCTGAAAGTTCACTTGCTGGATAGTCTTCACGTAAAAAACATTAATGTCAACAGTATTTTCAGAGGTTCATCAGTCTGAAGTTTCAAAATCTATTGCCATCCTAAGATAATGCTGGAAAAGAATCTGTTTTATCAATGTTTGCCTAATTTATTTTCAGGCCAATTCAAATTCCCAAAGAGGGATGCAGACCACAAATCTTTCATACCAATTACTGGTATCTTGTAAAAACTTTTTCATTTTTTATACTACAAAATAATTAACCTTCTAACCCGTGAACCCCAGATGTAAATGAAATGTTAGGACATACCCACTATGTCTATGCACATTCATCCAACTTTTCAGGAACCATTAATTATATTTTGTGCAAACATATGATTATCTTCAGGTATAATACAAACTAAACACAAATAAAATTTCACTTTTCATAATTAATTTCACTGTAAAAAAAGAAGAATATAAAACTAGAACGTACTCTAAAAGAGTACAGATCGATCAGTCTGCCACAAAAAGGCAATAAAAACTCTTTTACACATACTAACAGACATACCAACACCAAATTAAAAAATAACCTCCTGCAGAATATATATAATTTTTACCTCTATCTGCATTTCATGCGACATACTAAACATGCCCGCATTGCTCAGTTGTTGGTTGTAAGCTCTGGCTTGCATTGATGGGGGGATTTGCATAGGAGCCTGAGGAGCAGCACCCTATAACATATACAACATATATCCACTATTAAATCTTACCACTTATCTTAAAATCATTTCTGCTTGTATTCTGATATTGACAGTTAAAATCAAACAATGAGTGTTGGATACCATGGGTATTTATATAGCCAAAAAATGTAATTATTCCAGATAATTAAAGAATTACAAAATGTTGAATGGCTCACATTGTAATTTTGTATACTGTCTACTACAGGTATTTTAGCAGCCCCTGATAACAGAGGGTATAAATTTACCTGCATCTGCTGAGACTGTCCCTGCTGATAGTTTCGCTGATATTGATGCTGGTATTGTTGCTGAATGTGCTGCACATGCTGCTGTGTGGCTTGGTGACCCCCTGGGTTATGAAAATTAAGGTAACAATCAAATAAAATCAAAGAAAAGGGACTGAAATTTGTAGTTTAGCAGTGGTGCATTTGCATCTACCGTGTATGTCATATAACTTCATGGGGCCATTTACCAAGATGCTAAATATTTGTAAACTTAATGAGGCACACATATGGCAATTAATTTTAATTTCATTATCCTGGTGATTTCAGCTCATTTCCCTTAATCAACAATACACAAAACTGTTTACATAATTGTAACCTACATGTATATAGCTGTTTTTGCATTCCAAGTTGCTATAGTTTTAAAATCATTCTCAGATGGAGATACAAATTTAAAGACTAGTGAATTTCACTTTTTATGGTAAAATTTGGTTTTGAATAGGGTATATATCTTGGTGATGATTGAAAAATTACTGACACTACATGTAGCTTCCAAATACTATTAAATTCTTTTTTTTCTTCTTTTTTTTCTATACAAATAGCTAACACATATTGTACCTTTAACAATTCTGTGAAAAAAAAAGAGATCATAAAAGATCATAAAATGTTATAAAGTTGATGTTATTATTGATTATATGGAAGATGAAAACATTTTGATCTATTTCTTGACAGTATTGTAATAGGTAATGGGCAGTTGTCACCAGGCTTTCTCTTCTTTCTCTTATACACTATCAAGACCAAAAAAATGATTACAAGCAACTGTTGATAAGTGCTGGTTTTATCACAGGGGAGGTTAAGTTTTATATATATCAATCTCAACTTTATACACACACACACACACACACACACACACACACACACACACACAGATATGATATTCATAATTGAGTAACCTAATAGTCATAAATAAATGAATATTAATAAATAAACGAATTCAAAACTTACCTTGAAAATTTGACATTTGGAACATGTTGTTCTGAGGTCCTGCTTGCATACCAAACTGAGGAAGGTTATTCACATTGAAAGCACTATCTAAAAATATAAAGATGAGCATTTTGCTATAAAAAAATTAGCAGTGACAACTTTTGGTAATGTATGATGGTTTTAACCAGAAAGAGGATATGGAAAATTGAAATAAAACTCAAAGTACATTCAAGAATATCTTTCAAACTACTGGATTTACATATGATAAAAAATGTTTTATAATTGCAATGATACTACATTGCTTACATGAACTGTTCAAATGGCATGCTCAGTATGTTGCTGACATTCAATAAAAAATAGTAATAATAACATTAATACAGAAAAGATAAAACAACTGCTGTTGTGTACAGTAATGCTACCTAGGCATCCTCATTATGCCTGCCTCTGCCACATATGTCATGAGTTCTTTTTTTTATCACAAAGAAGAAGCAAAATGTGTACAAATAATATTCCAGCAATTCACTGAATATAAAGCAGAATTACAGTAATTCTTTAAGACTTTACTCAACAAATTAATTAAGTTATTGTACAGGGTCGTTGGTTGCCCAAGATCCCTATCTAGACCACTATTAAAAAGATTACTAATTCAAAATTTGATTTAGTCAATTTAAAAACAGACCAAGTAAGTAACAAAATAACTAAATAAGTATAAGCAAAAATATAAATTCATATAATATGATGTAGACTATGCCCGTCTGTATATCTATCTGCCTGACTTTTTGTCTATCCATATTAATTCTTTTCCGTACATGCACAAGTAATACTACAGGCTAGGGTGTATGATGACCTTTTATCCGTCTGATTAATTTTTTGTTTATGAACCTGTCTGCATGTACATGACAATGCTACATGAAATAGTACATAACCATGATTGCTCAACATTTATCACAAAATGAAAACTGAAATAAGTACAGAACATTTTTTCAAATTATGACCTTACAGGGCCGTAGCCTCTGGGGGGGGGCAGGGGGGGCAGCTGCCCCCCCTGGAATTAGGAATTTTACACACCACACCCTCCCCCCTCGGTAGCTTCGCCCCCTCGTGTCCGCTTACTGCCCCCCCCTGGCATTTTGCTCAGGCTACGGCCCTGCCTTAGCTTCATTGAGCAACTGACTGCTGGCATGTGTGCATGTTTATTTTGCACGTGTATAACTTCTTACCCATCATGCCTCCCATCGTTCCTGCAGGATCATGAAATGAGAAAAGTATTCTAAATAAAAAAGAATCATTAGAAATTAGAATTTCATTAATTTTTGAAATTATTTTCTAAGCATAAGTTTATTTGACTGAAACAACAAATAAAATGCCAGACATGCGGAAAACTTATGAGGTACTGAAGGTCAAGCAGATCTGCACTTCAAGAAATCTACAAGGTCCTCCTACAGAATAATTCTGTGCATGTCCATTAGTCAGTGTTTACATATGACTCATTTTATGTCTTATATTCCATCAGTTTCCCTGTGTCTTACAATGCATGGTGAGAATGAGGATGTGTATACA